ACTGTCCGCTGGCTTCATCATAAAGTCACTAAAATTTGGTCGTGCCTTGACTTTTGCGTGACCCGACTTGCAAATTTTCTAGACAAGAGACACCGTTGCTTGGCCAATTTTTTTTTTTTTTTTAAACTTCTGACTTGCCAGCAAAAATGTGTCATACCAACACCAGATTGTGGCAGCGAACTCATCTCAGCTGATTCCAGGCAAGGAGCAGTTTGGCAGACTGTCACACTAAACATAAAACAGAAAAGTACATTTTCATTGAGGGAAAAAAAAAACACAACTGCCTTAGGAAACAACGTAAGCACAACACAATGCAAAAATGGGCTAGTGAATAGCATTGGTGTTGCGGTATTATCACCCTTGAGGCTAACAATATTTGAACACAGCTTACTGATTCGAGTGATTTGATTGAAAATCTGTCAATGAACCCAAGGATGTGGTATATACATATGTAATACTGTATATCCAAAATAGTGAGAAAAGCAGCGCAGCGATAACTGTGCAATGTCATAACGTCCAAAGTGGTTGCTTCTTTTTATGTGACGTTTAAAAAAAAAAAAAAGAGAGAAGAAAAGGCAGACACAGTGACCCACTTTGGCTGAGAGGCTGCACCAAAAACGGCTTGCACCATAAATACACCGACAAAGACACTCTACAAGGCAACGTGACATTTTCCTGCATGCAATGAAACACGGCGATGAAGAAAGTCCCATTTTGTTGACACGTCACATGTTCTTTATTCACATTATGAGGAAAGAAAAACACAGAGCCAATAGAACTGACGAACTGGGGAGAGGGGGGGTTGGCACTGATGACTTCTGAGACGAGCCTCTTTTGCATGCAAATCATATCTGAATTTCTCATTAGCATAAATGCATGAGCAACTTTAAATGCTTTTAATTTTCAATCTAGCCAAGCAGAGGAGTAATTTGTCACTGTCAGGATGGAAGACTAAAAGGGTGGGGACCAGAGGGAGCCAAGGACTGCACGCTCAAATGGAATCACAGAACATTTCTGATTTACTAATTGACTGATGTGCAGTTCAGTGGAATTGCCTTGAAGGTGTAAATAATTCTGTGTATATCTAAATGGCTCAAATGAGAAAGTGAGGGGCGGATACGCGAAAGCACATTACATGATGCTTCTCCCCGGGCCATGCTTTTCTCCTGTGATTCTAATTCCCAGCCTTTTACATTTTCACTGGGTGTCTCCAAAGGCTTGCGTGTTTGCTGTTTTTGTACTCAACCGCAGATAATCAACTGGAAATTAAAATGGAAAGTCAATTTCCTTCACAGCTCCGTGGCAGTACACAAAGACAGGCATTCAAGGAGCACTGAAAAAAACTCAAACTGCAAGATTAGTGATATGTCATTGCAAGATGTCACGTCACAATGACCAGATTTCCTGACATAGTGGCCAGGTGCACTCAGTTACTCAACTACAGAAAGTATCGAGCATCTTTAGCATTAATAGAAAGGGCGGGCTTTATTTGTAGCAATACATTTAAAGAGAGAACCCCCCACAACTAAAACCTCCTGGAAACGCGCCATCCTCATTTAAATGGCCACCAACAAAAGTGAGGCATGCCTCAAGTGTCAACACTTTTGAATCCGAGTTTAAAACGCTCTTTTCTCAAACCCATGATTAAGGTCTTTCAAACCTTTTATTTATTTTTTTAAATCATTCTCTAAAATCAAGTTATTGTACTGTCAGGGGTACAAAAGTGGTGAACATTTGTGAATACAGTACCAACGATTCACAGACCATGAGAGCTATAAAGGAAGAATAACTTGAGAAGGGCTTCTAACTTTGGATCATCTATTTAGGTACGAGAAGGGGTCAGAATCCATTCAACCGCTCTACAGATGCCATGAGACATAACATTGCTAAATTAAATCAAGTCAATTTCGTGCACGCTGGGCATATTGTAATTGATCAGTCAAGAGACTTTTAAATTATTACTTTGCAGTGTTTTATAGTCGTTTGCAGACCTATACACCCAAGTCCAACAACGCTACAAAAATATTGCACAATTTAACCAAAGCCAATGTCACCTCTGATGATTTTTCAAGACTCCCGTCAATCCCAGTGCTACCATCAGTTAACAACTAAATTGTAAAGTCAACTTTCTCCTAATAGTTTTGCTCAATGTCCAAATATTAATGTTTAGCTAGCTAGATAGATTGCTATATAGCTAGAGATAGATAGATAGATAGATAGATAGATAGATAGATAGATAGATAGATAGATAGATAGATAGATAGATAGTTGGATAGATAGATAGATAGATAGATGGACACAATACAAACAAAATCATGATCAACGTTGTTGCCTATATTTAGCTTAGTTGTCCAAAATAAGATTCAGAAGTCAAAGATCAAAGTGTACAAGAGCTATCAATCATCATCTCCATGGAGAGCAATGAGCACGTTTGTGTGAAGATGGATGCCACACCTGCATGTTGATTTTAGTACAAAAGCTTACAATAGAAATGCATCATCAAATGTGGTTTTTGTCCTACCCTCTTTTCCTCCTTTTTTTTTTTTTTTTTTTTTTTATGAAGCAGAAAAAAAATCCGAGAATTTTCATTGAACTTGGAGAGCAAAAACAACTATGAACTCTGCTCCATGCTCACACTGCCTCCCAGTGTTAAAATATGAGTATAGCGGTTTGGCATACAGAATGTGCACACAATCTTAAAATATGGAATACATAAATCATCATAAATTGGACAGATTTTTATTTCCCTGTTTGTTGAATTTGAATTTATGATTTATTTCCGCCCCCCCCCCCACACACACACATAAATACAACCCACCTTGCATGACAGTTGCCGGATAAGTCTTCCAACCATAACCAACCACAACGATGATGATGATGATGATGATGATGATAAGGTGATATATGACATATCACACTTACAATAAAAACTGGGAGGAGCCTGAGCACTGCACTGTGAGATGAATAAATAAATAAAATTACACATATAGTTGACCGCACGTGGGAAGTATCCAAATTGACAGGTTGCCTCGTCTAAAGGCCGCATTTCCGCCGTATGACGTCATTTCCGGCGTAGCTTGAATGAATTTGTATTGAGCCACAGAGGATGACCCTCCTCCACCTCCTCCTCCTCAATAAACATCCCTCTTGAGTATAAAGTTCTTATTTTACGCAGTAAAATGCAAAACACTTAATTATTTAGTCTCCATACATTTTGAAAGCTATTCTGCCCATAATTAATAAACCAGAAAAAAAATCTACGAATGTTAATTTCTTTGCAAGTGAGCAAATTTACAAATTTGGCATGAGTTCAAAAAGATCTCGCGATATAAAACTACTCTGGAATAGCTACTGATTGGACAGATTGAATTACATGTTAACTTTTGTTGGAGTGAAGACTTCATGTTTTTGTAACCTTTACAAGATTAAGAAGCAATTATTTCCTTTTTTTTTGGGGGGGGGGGCATAGGGAATTCCGCATATCCTGTTTTCCTTGAAGTCCAGTCCAATCATTTCAGTTTACATTTTATGAAAGTCGTTGGCGTTTGTCAGTTGGTGCTACTTCGGCAAATGTCCACTAGATGGGAGAGTCGGCCTACTTTTTACATTGGAGCCTTAAGAAGGAGAAAAAAAAGTCACAAAATTGAATAGTTTCCAGACATAAATTTTATTCGAAGCACTTTCTTTTGACTGATAAACATTATCCAACACCTATTGAGTTAGCCCATTCCAAAGCATTTCACACTGGAAGTTTTTATCTGGCAATTCAGCACCGAGCTGTCATCACAGGAATAAATGCAAATCAATCATATCCATACCGAGGGAGGGAAAAAAACCACAAAAATATCAAGGCCTCACAGCTAACGTAGCAAAACCACATCCATTTTGTCCATGATACACTAACTGCATTGAAACACAAGCATGTGATATTAGCAGAATGTTGTTGCTGCTCTGTTTTACTTACAGGTATAGCCTATGATGTCATCTTAATTATATCTATGTGTTCCGTCGCATTATTGTTCTTTAAGTCAAATGTTCGGTAAAGCGCTTTGCTACAGCTGCAGCTGTTGTGAAAGCACTATATAAATAATGCTGTATTGTATTGTAAACTCACATTGTCCTTTTGTAGCAGCAGCAGCACATACTTTTCAAGACATTTCTCCAAAAAAATATTTATGTTATGCATGTAGAATACAGTATATCATACAAGATCCAGAGAATCTTACTGGTGATGCCAGTGAAGGCCATCAACAGATTGACTGAAACAATGTGGCATTTGATTTGATTTGACCTTTAAATATCGCAGATGAACTGGGCTCTGTGGTTGTTGTCTTATGACGACTTTCCAGCTTTGTTAAACATCCCTGAAAGAGCATGTTGCAGCCAACATGGGACCCGGAACAAAAAGAGAGAATACTATCAATATCACACACCCAAAATGGGCAATGTGTCACTTGTGAATTTAGACAATTCAATATCTTTGGCAAATGTATATAGGTACTGAAACATACCCTTATGGAGTATGCAATATATTCACAAAAATTCAATATCTTTGGCAAATGTATATAGGTACTGAAGCATACAAAGCTGATTCGTGTGCTCTTCTGGCAGCGAGGTGGTGATTCACATGTCTGGTTCACAGTTCGGAGGAACCTGTTCAGAATCTCAAATCCAACCTTCCTGTCTGGAGTCTGCAGGTTCCCACCGTGCTTGTGTGGGTTTTCTCCCACATTCCTAAAATGTGCATATCAGGTTCACTGAAGCCTCTAAATTTGAGGGAAAAAAATGTTTTCAGGAGTGTCAACTATACAGCCACTAGAGGGTTCAATCTGGCCTGCAGGATGAGTTTCAAAATGGAAAAATTTTAATCCATTAGACAGTTTGATTTTACTGGTCCAGTCCACTTGACACAAAATAAGGCTGTGTGTGGCTTCTTATTGTGTATTAAAAAAAAATCGTGAGTTAAATGATTCACTATATATATATATTTTTTTTTTTCTATGCTCAGCTCACCCATGACCCTAATGAGGGCGAACGCTATTGAAAAAGGATGGTAAGATGTTATTTTGTCACAGTTTTAAGTCTAAAGACTTCAGAGGTGACAAATCCAGGTCCAGAAAGTGAAAGCCCTGCCAGAGCACAGTTTGGCTTTAGTCTTGGGTGCTTCTCCACAGGTACTCCTGGAGTGGTGCCCGTTGAGCAGAAGCACCTGTGGCTAAAGCCAAACTATGGTCGTTTTTTTTTTACTTTCTAGACCAGGATTTGACCCCTCTGGAAGACTTGGGCCAATTAGTGGCATCCAGAGTTAAAAGCAAAAATGGTGACGCAGCATTTAGCTGTTATGCTGCACACATATGGAATAAATTGTTAAATGAGGTGAAGTTAGCCATGAGTATAGATGCATCCATCCATTTTCGAATCCTCTTATCCTCACATCGGTCGTTATTCGGCAGTTTAAATGTTGTCAAAGTACATTCTTTACTACGCTACTTTCATTTTACGTGCTTTGCTTCTGAATGTCGTTAGCTATTGTGTTTGTAAATGATTTTAGGGGTTGTGCGTTTGCTTGTGTGAAGCACGTTGAGTTGCCTTGTGTATGAAATGTACTACAGAGTATACATTAAATAAGCTTGCCTTTGTATCCGTGTGTTTAATAGCAGCTTGTGCCAATGTTGATCATGTGACCTCTGCAATTGGCTGGTCCATCTCTCACCCCAAAACAGCTGGGATTGCCTCCTGCTCACTCACATCGAACCTTAATGACAACGGTATAAAAAAATGAACGGTGGGTGGATATTGTGCCCTTGTCCCTCAGTTTGTGAAAAATACTGCTCTGAATCCATTCACTGACATTCCAGTCATCAATAGTGAAGCCCTATAGCTGTTTCTTTTGTATAGAAGCCAGATCGCATCATTCACCTGCACATTTTGCAACAAAATGTCGATAAGCCCACATGGTGTAATTAATATACGATCCAAACACAAAAGTGCACCAAACAACACCAGCCAGGAGTACTTTGTACTAATCTACTGTCACTTCCATCATACTAATATCGTTGCATTCACTCAACACCGAATGTTCCCTTTTTAAGGCTCGTCTCCGCAAACACGTTAAATTGCCATGCAATGCGCACATTCTTCTGCAAACGGGCAATGACGCACTAATACAGACAGCTGACACACGAGAGACAGCGAATACGATGGTCTGCGTTCTAGTTTTGTAACGCTGGATTGCACCCGGGCGGAACTTTCTCAGGCTTTTCAGGCAACGTAAGCACAAAAGGAAAAAGAACGCCTTTGGCTTCGAGAGGCGCCCTCAGCGGCTCCTCCACAAAGAAGGCGTTCTCCTCCTCCACCACGAACTGAAGAGTCTGGCTTTTGTTAACACAGTAGATGCAGTTGCCTACGACGGCGCACCGAAACGGCAACGAGCTGCCGAGCCTTTGCGACGCGCAATCGTGCCACATTTTCACGATGCTGTTGTACTTGAACACGTTGATCCCCTGCTCGCGGGTCACGTCGAAGCGGTAGATGAAGCTCTTCAGCGCCACCATATCGGTCGATTTCTTCCTGCTGTTGTTGTACGGGCACTCTTGCCACTCGTCCCTCTTGGTGTCGTACTTGAGGAGGCGATAGAAGAGCGAGCCCCCGGACACGTAAAGCTCCCCGTTGCAGGTCGTGGCCTCGTGAGCTACAGCGAAGGCTCCCTTCGGCAAAGGGGCCACAGCGGTCCAGCGGTCCATGCGAGGGTCATATTTTTCGACGGTAAACAAACACTCCCCTCCGATAGCGTACAGGTAGCCATCCATGGACACCAGCTTCAGTTGGGCACGGGCCTGCGTCATGGGTCGGATCTCTGCCCAGTTGTTTGTTTTGGGGTTGTAACAGAAGACCTTGTCTGATACCCTCCCCTTGTCCCCGTAGCCTCTTATCCCCCCTGCCACAAACAGGTAGTTGTACATTGTGCAGATTCCACAGCCTTTCGTATTGACGTCCTCCGGCATGGCTGTCAAAGCATTCCAGTCGTTGGCCACTTGGCTGAATGAGTAGATCGTGTGACTTTCCTCCAGAGACCCCACGGACAACGGGCTCTGGGGACGGCTTCCGCAGCGGCTCGGTGGCCGGCTCCCGACGCGTTCAAACACGTCGTTGATCTCGGCGGCCATGAGAGTCTTCCTCCCGTCCGTTCTCTTCTTCAGGACCAGATCGCGCTCTGACCCGGTCAGACGCCCGTAGACGCAGGGGTCCTTGAGGATCTGCAGGAAGTTGTCGCTCATGAAACCGTAAGCGGTCTCCTTCAGTTCACTAAGTCGCTGCTTTTTGGCGATACTCAGAATCTCATAGCAGTTGCCCGCAGTGATTTGTTCCGTCATGCGGTCCATGGCTGCCTGCACGGCGCAAGGGATCTGGAGGATTTTGGCCCCCGTGATGACATCTACGACATTGTCCTTGGAAACATTCATCTGGGAAGTGTAAACATAGTCAATTAAGGTCGACAAAGTCTTATAGCTCATGCCCTTCACTTTGAGGATGTTTCGCGACAGCCGAGCTTTGAAGTAGTCACTCTTTTCTGCCAGGACTGACTTGTGAGCGTTGATCGTCTGACCGCCAACTTCGATGACTAAATCAGGCTCGGTTCTACCAGACAATGAATTGACCGCATCTGAGCCGCCCTCTGGATTGCATGATGGGTCTGATTGATCTGTTGCTGGTTTAGTATCAGCAATGCGTAACTCTTTCGCTCTTGCGCCATTGGGGATTTGACTGCTTGCACAGTTGGATTGCACGTGGGACACACTCGAGTTCACCTGTGATGGAAAGTCCACCTCGTTCTTTTCTTTGGAGAGATGAAGCTTATTTGCACCTGCCATGTATGAGCCGTTACCTTTTTGACAATCGTGAGCATAGTTTTCAGTTATCAGTCTTCCATCCAGCAGATATTCTTTCTCAAGCACTGTAGGGAGGTTGAAGTCTGGTTTGTCCCCCAAGAACCCTTGGACAAAACCTGTATGTAAATCCCTGGCCTTGTCAGGGCTTGCCACGGGGTTGACCGTGTGGCGGATGACATCGGCCTCGATCGCAGCAACTCCTCCTCCCGGTACTTGACTCTCGGTCATCCTGATGTACTCACTTGTAATGGAGGATGTTGTCCGTACCGATCATTCTGGGGGAGGACAAACTTCTGTCTTTTGTGTCTTTCTGCCACCTACATGGAAGGGAGGAAACATGACTCATTAAGATGCAATAGCTGACGGGCATTCTTTCTCTGATTAAAACAAGACTGACATTGCAATGCGGTGTCGTAACTCTAAGATATTGCTGTCTCATCATTTCAGCCTAATAAATATGTGTAAAGCCAGCTTAGTGGGGGATTCGCATATTAGAGAAGTAAGGATTAATGTATGATGACAAGAAGCAATGGTGTCAAAAAAGCACTAATATAGTGAACAAAATGATACATTTTCTATACTGCTTGTCTTCAGTAGGGTCACAGGTGAGTTTGAGCCTACTGAAGTTGCCTTTGGGTGAAAGGACACTGTGGACTGCTTGTCAGGGAATCACAAGGCACATTTAGACAAACCTATGAACAATTTTGAGTCTGTAATTAAGTTAACATGCGTGTTTTTGAAATATGGGAGGAAACTACAATACCCAGATGGAGCCCAGAAAGCAAAACATGCTCATTCCACACAAGAAGGAGGAAGCCAAGATTAGATCATCAAAAATGAAAACTCTGATGGGCCGAACACTAATCGACTGTGCTGCCCACAAAACTATGAGATGGATGCAAAAAAGCATCACGGCTCAAGTGCCAAAATGCAAAAATGGTAAATAATTGTTGTGGAAATGCTAGCCTGCGTTGTGGCGATTGTCAAGGTGTCCTTGAGCAAGGCATCGTCCCCATTGCCCAGCTCAAATTTAACAGTGACATCTCTCCTTTAAAGTCTGCAGGTTTGGTTCTTTTATCGATAGATATGCAGTACACGCATACTGTCCACCAGGGTGTACTAAATGCTCCTTTTGAGGTATTGTCATTAATATAATAAATTGCATTGCATTAAAATTAACATTCAATTAAAACTAACAGGTATACAGAAAGAAACAGTGGGCCCTTATGCTACTAAATTCTTTAGTGGTCACAACTGATATTGTACATGACGGTGATTGTGTTCAGTCTAAAAACTGTAATACTGCACACGAAAAAACTAGGGCCAAACACAAGGTCTCTTTAAGAGTCAAACTGCGTGACCTGCTGTAATAATCACCCGAGCAGTCCAACGAGAGCGAGAACCAGATACATTTAGTGCGCATGCGCACGGATAAATTACTCCTTAAAATGACAAGTAAAGGGTGAAAAGAGCCTCGGCTCCGCTTGTTCCGTCATGCTCTTGCAACAATGAGCAAATAAGCGGTAAAATTAAGGTCGGTTGTCTGATTGCAACCTTTGAAAAAATCTACGCTTATTTCCCTGCAAAGTTAAATGCAACCTACCTGTGATTCCAGGCTGTGATTAAAGCGCTCGGAACCCGCAATCCCTCCAAAAAAGCGTTACGTAAAGCCTCCACAATCCTGACCGAGCAGTCACCCGAGATGACTTTATTTGATCCACATTTTCGTCTTGATTCCGTCCGCCCGTTCACCTCTTAAGCCACCCGATCCTATGAATGGGCTCGTCTTCGGCTCCCCGAATCTCAAGCCTCCTCGCGGCCGAGGCGAGGCGAGGCTGAAAGCGGCGATCGCACAAAAGTCAACCCCCCGCCCCCCCCTTCTCCAGGTGGGCGCGCCTACCACACGAGCCTCCACGCGTGACCATGCAACCAACAAATGTGGCGCTTGTCCAACACTGGCAGCATGACTTGTCAGTGAATGTCTTGGTAGTTTTTTCCCCCCCTACAGTTGACTATTTCGCTAAACCACGCCTCTTCGCTTAGTATTAACCCTCAACTGTACAGGGCAAAGCTTCATCTGTTGGACGCAGCATCATTCTTTCAACCCCCCCCCACCCCGTCCCATGGTACCCCCATGGAGGTGGTTGATAGGACTATAGCCTTTACTGTAAATAAATCTATGGATTTACGTGCACTTTATCACTAAATATATCAAATGTACTCACACTCAGGTAAAAGTAAAAGTAGAGGTATAAGTAGAAGCACTGATTCAACTGCTGTACGTAAATAAATAAAAAAAAAATCGAAACAATACAAGCTCTGAAATCTATTTAGGCAAAAAGAAAAAGGACAAACGTGAATTTATACTGTCAAGTATGCACAATAATCTCCGATAAAAATGCCCCGAATCTCAATAACGCTCATACAGAGAAGAAAAAATAGGACGCGCTATTAAACTGTGTTCACATAGATTTGTTAACAATGTAAAGTGGTTGACAAAAAAAAGGCCGAATCAGCAAATGCTAATCACTGAAAAAATACACAATATCTGTTTTTTCAGATTATACAGATAGTTTTTGACGAGTAGAAGCTTGTAGTTTTTAGGCTAGCACAAAACAGCGCTGTTGCTACGAATCATTCCTGGAACCGAAAAAAATAAAACACTTATCTTAAATAAGGCCATGGATGAGGAATATCGTGCTTCTACGAATCTGTTGCATCGTCGTCGTTACCGCTCCTCAATTGACGTTCCTCCATGTCGTTGGTGTCAATCAGACATTCAAGTGTCATCCTCGCAGTTCAAGTGTCCTACATCTATTTACATTTTTTTATGTTGCATCACCATCTGTTAAAAAAAGGAATCAGCATATTTTGACAACGGAAGGAAAAAGTGCACATATCTGCTTTCAAATGTTGGGGATATTCAAGTACAGATTCCTGAAAAACGCAGTTAACTTAAGCAACAAAGTAGTTATAACGTCAAATCGACATTCAGAAACAATACACTGCTAAAATAAAAACAAGATAAAAAAATCAAAACAATTAGTACTCACCATTCGAGCCTTAATGGAATAAACACATTTGAAATAGTTTTTCTATAAGGATATATATACAGTATAAATACGAGACATTGGAATGTACTTGGGAGCCGTAGACACTTGATAGCATGGTACTAGATTGAGATTTATTTCCAACAGCATCGAATTGTGCAATTTTAGACTCCATTGTCAACTATCTGAGTCTGCACCTGGAGTAGTTTTTGTTGGCTTGTGCCTCACACCTTAACACAGTAGTTCTTACGTACCCTTGCTCAACAATGGCAATGAACAACCTCCTTGAAAGAGGTTAAAAAAAAAAAAAAAGTACAACCTACAGAGCAACAGAGGGTCCATTTATCCTCCGCGGTGAAGACTGTCCGAGTAACTGGTCGGTCGTTGTATATGTAAAAGGACAGCGCGTAGTAACCATCAGGCTTGTGAGATTTTGAGGTTTCAATGCGAGACATATTCAGAGAACAAAGACAGGCCGGGGACAGATGTGTGCACACCAAATGAGCGTCTCCATGGATACCCCAGTGTTGTTCATGCCAGCCACCAGCCAAGACGAGTTACTCGTAGGCCACATTACACCCCAACAGAAGTGCAACTGTTTTTATAAAGAACTGATGGACAAATCCAATTATATTCGCACATTCGAAGAGGATAGTACTGTATGAGCTGTGGACTAGTCTGTACACATTCTGGATCTGATCTCACCCCTTGAATGTAGGTGAATAGTGAAAATAGTTGTGCAACAGTGGATGTGGGCGTTTGGAGAGAGAAAATGCCTTGATCCGCTTTGCTCAGCAGTGGGAGAAACGAAGAGTGAAATCCCAGAAGTGCTGCATCAGGCTTCACTCACCTACCTCAGGCACACTGCTAGTCCCAACATGTAGTAAAGGCAATCAATCGCTGGAGTATTGGATACTCTGTTCTACTTTCCGAAAACTGCGACCGTTTGTTTCGTAATCTAACCCTTCACATCCAATCAAGTTTTTACAGTGCTTAGTACTGTGTATTCCCTCGGTTGGAATATACTGTCAAGCGATTGCTGAAAATGGTGCATTCTAAGAACACAAACTGCCTAAGTATCTCAATAAATCAAGGTTTATATATTAAGAACATAGCAGAAATACAATACCATACATATAAATGTATACAACAACAACAAAAGTATGTTTTTACAATCTTTTAAATATTCTTAACTGAGAAACAAAGAGCATTCAGTCTGGAGGAAAAAAAAAAAAAACTTTCCATGTCAAGAACAACAACAACAAAAATCTTTCATTTGTGGAGAACACTGGCCAGCCAGACATCCTAGTCTTTCCAAAGCTCATCAGTCAACGTTACTTCAACTTTTTTATCCATTTTCTTTGTAAACGCACGAGTAGGGGAAACACTGGGCCACTTCCATGAAATGATATTTGATCCGACTCAAAGAACCTCTGTCTGATCGCCCTCAAAAACCACTTACAGACAATCCTGAGTGAACTCCAGATTTACACCTCAACAAGTCATGACATATTTTCTTAAACTTAATCCTATCCTTGGAAAAAAAAAATGAAAGTATTTCATGACATATTTTCTTAAACTTAATCCTATCCTTGAAAAAATAAAATAAAATGAAAGTATATAACAACCACATTTTAACTTCACATGCGTCATGCAGAAAAAAAAGAAAGTCTCAACACCGTTTTACGAACGATGGTCTCGTACAATTTATACAAACTATAAACAGCGGCAGGTCACGGAGTTCTTTTATCTCGCAATGAGATATCATCAGGAATACTGTAGTCGTGGCAAATATTGCTGTTCTGGTTGAAACAAGCCATTTTGCTTGTTGCCATTGCTCCCTCATAATTAGTAAAAGGGTAACATCAGATGTCTTTGGGACATACAGTGGGTATAAAAAGTCTACACACCCCAGTTCAAATGCCAGGTTTCTGTCATGTAAAAAAAAACATAAGTCCAACTGGGGTGGTGGACAGTAAATATTTTAGAGAGCGAAAATAAACAACTGAGACCAAGTGGTTGCACAAGTGTGCACACCCTGTTATAACTGGGGTTGCGGCTGTGTTCAGAATTAACAAGTCACATTGAAACTCTGGTTAACTGGGAGTCAGCGCACCCAACGTCTAGTAAAAGGGCTTTTTTATTTTGCGTGTGAGCACAAGCCTGAATGTTTTGTGCTAACACAGACTAAGGAAAAATAGCACTCCAGAATACAGTACTTTATAAAAATAGAGTACTAAGATAGTAATTTTTCATTGATGATAGCGAGTACTTGCTTTTGGATATTATTACATTATTTGTCTAAATGTGTTATTTCCATCGTTTGTCTTCATATGTTGCTTTCAAAAGGGCAACTATCAAGTTTTTGGTAAAATTTATCTTGGTCTTATACTTTTGTAGCACAAATCCTTGCATTTGAAAAGGGGCGTAGAGACTCTATCCAGCGTATGTGTGCCTGAAATGAGTCAAGAGACATTTGAATGATTACACTGGTCAACCGCCAGTTGTAATCAGAAATGGCTTTATGTGACCGAAATGCATTTTTGACACTGGAAAAAAAAAAAAAGTACTTTTTTTGTAGCAAATATTTTTTTTGATGTTTAAGTTTGACCTATATTAACTCATGTACTGTTTACAGATTTTATCATGCATTGACATTTGCGGAAAAAAAAATCCCCCTATTGCTGAACCTAACCCTTAATTAATACATATTACTACTAAATGTATTATAATATTATATATTATATTTTTGTTATTATAATATTAATATTGTTACTCTGAATATATGTGGTACAGAAAAAAAAACAGGGCGAGAGTCTTAATCAGCGCAAAAAAAAAAAAACAATCTAGAAAGGTTTACATCCAAATCTTGACAACAACAAAAAATAATTGTGTGACTGGTAATTCACTTCTGTTTCACTGGTGTACTACTGGGGTGTCACATGTTAAGCAAGGGGATCTGCCAGATCAGGATGGTTGAGGTGTTGTCCTCATGGCGTGACTGTTTGGTCTTTTTGTTCACCCTGCGGTGGCCCAAACCTCCAGAAACCACCAGGAGAGAGCTGACGTCCACTTTGCTCTTGCGACGGCCCTTTCGGTGGTGGGCTGGATCATGAAGCATGTCGTAAAGGGCCCCGTCCTCGGGCCCGTGCTCCAAGGAACCTTGGGACTGAAATAAAGAGCCGCAAGATGAGGAAGAATGTGAGTCCTGGAGAGCCATGGTGGTGCAGCCTGCCTCTCCCAGCCATACTCCTTGGCCCTGAGGTGGGGTCGAAGTAGAGTCCGAGGGGGGCAGAGCGCCTTCTCCGTCCTCTGGCTCTACTGGCTGGGCTGACGCTGAGGAGGCGGAGCATGTGAGGCCTGAGGGTCGGTTGCACACTGCTGTTGCCACAGTTAGGAACTTAACTGGGCCGTTGTGAGCATGCAAGGATACCATACCCCGACCTGAAGACACACACAACACTCTGTTCATTTGGAAGGGTTCCTACAGAATATGCACCTGAGTTATTTGTAAATGTACTGTTAAAGCATTGCTCATAATCATATTCATTAGCCTAGGTGTTATTTATTTCCTCATAATGCATACCCACATATACCCACAAATACAAATATGCTGGATCTGTGTTACCTGTGACCTTGGGGATACCCTGTAGTCTGGGGACAGAGAGAGAGACAGTCACGCCCAGGTTGGTTCCGACCAGTAGCATACCGTGGCAAACCAGCAAACTGCTCACTGACACTCTCTGGTTCCCTGTGGAAAAAAACCCAAGCGTGACATTCGATAAAGCATATCCACTGTTGGTGTGGAAGAACACCTTTGAGATGGAACTGCAGCAGAGATTGTGACCAAATGGACAAAAATCCTGCACAGACACTCCAGAAGAGTTGCAAGATGTTATAGCCAACCCCCAATGTTACTATTTGAAGTCCCGATAGTTTAATGTTCAGCCCTCTACTTTTTTGTATCGCTTCCCGTCATTACCGTTTGCTGATGAGTTGGAGCCTATTTGAGGAGGCTTTGGCTCGTGTTTACTCCAAGCTTCATTATTTCATCAATTAGTAAATATGGAATTGTAAATATGGTTAAGGGTTCTTGTAAAACACAATGCGGAATGTCTTTTTGTCTTCATGGCGGCTGTGTCCCGCTCCCTTAAACCCAGAAATTTATTTTTCTTCTGCATGTGATACTAATAGAAAATTGGCTATGCAGACATTCATTCACACTCAAATTCATACTTCAGGCCAATTTTAGAGTCTTCAATTAACGAAACATACATCTTTTTAGAATGGGAGGAAGTTGGAGTAGCCTAAGAAATCCGGGTGAACATGAAAACTCCACACAGGAAGGCCTGAGCCCAGATTCGAGGTCCCAACCTCAGAACTGTGAGGCCGATGTGCTAACCATTCGCCCACCGTGTCCCAACACATTTGTCCAATTGTGTTTTGTGAATCCCCATGAAAAAAGAAACCACTTCAGCAGGCTATAAAATGTTGTTTGAGGAAGGTAAGCCTGCATATTTCTGCAGCTCTGAGGTTTATTTATCTCCAAGGCAACACGAAAAAAACCTCCTGAATAAATGTAGTGCTTTTCAAGCCTCCGTTTCACAAAGAAACACAAGCGTGTTACATAACACAATGACCGATGCGTGATACTGTAATTAAGCAACAAGCAGCGCCTCTATTCAGGAAAGCTCGTGGTCGCTAGAGTGGAACAATGCCACCTGTTTGTTTCCCTCTTGGTCACAAATATCAGTACAACGCACAGTAAAGTCTTGTTTACAGCTCAGTTCATAAAGGACGGCAATAAAGTCTGACATGTTGATGGACTGTGGGAGTGGAATTTAACACTCACCACAGATATGAACTTTTTGTCAGCGCTACAAATAACGACGATCTAAAGAAATAACCCCAACCATTTTTTTACTGGTACATGGTGCCGGTCAAGTCACAGTTGCGCCAGCAGCTTCACTTAAATTTCCCTCCCACACAGTAAATACTATTTTGCCTTGGAGGAGAAATGGTTTCCAGTCCCTGCGATTGACCCCACTGACGAGAGGTGACCTCTTACAACACCAACCACTCTGGCATTGCTCCAGGAATCACGCAAGCGAGGTAGACAGGTACATTCCTCTTTTCTAAAGCCCAGCTGAGGACAGAGAATCTTGGCCACATGTGCTTCTAATGCAGGCACGCAATGGGCAGAAAAACACATTGCTGGTTGCAGGGGGGTGATGGGGAGGCTTGGTCAACTTTCCCCTTTCATAATATTTGGAGTTCTCCAACCAGAGGGTGAACTAAAATAAATCCAGAGGGAACATCCACACGAATCCTGATCCTACAGCAGAGCACCACTTTGATCCGCACTTAGCCCTGACAAGCAACAGCAGGAGGGAAGAGTAAATCTCACACACTACAATATGAAACAGCACCAGCGATTCAGGCACACTAAGAATAACAGCACCATGTGTGCAATTGTGCTTCTCTCTCTAAGGCGGGAGAAGATGGCGTTCTTCTGGATTAGCCTTTTAAGCTGATAAAGTACTCTGTGTCTACTGTTAATGTGCACATTTTCACTCTTTAATCAGGGTGACCGTAGCTCCATTTTGATCAAGCGGAACGGTTTGGTTCATGGTTGAGTTTAGCGATGTTATGCAAGCCCTTCTGGCAAAGGTATGGACAAGATTTGCGAAAGTATTGCGCAAGATTTTTCATGACAGTCGTGACAGCAGCATTTTTGAAAGACTTATAAGGTCAAGATAATTTCCCCCATATTTGGTTCAGTTTCTAAATTGTGCGACTTCCGGGGCATTCGGCTAGATACTTTTGTGCCGTAACATTTTTCGGCACCCTTCTTTTGAAGGTGGTTAAGGTGCCTACAGGGTGACGCTAGTCTGTAACTGGTCATGATGACAAAAACAAAATACTTCAAACAGCAGCTAGATCGATTAATCCGATATAGAAATCAGTGGATGGCGCAGTGATCACTTCAAACACCTTTCCCAAGTGCTTCTGCAGACTTCATGCAGACCCGGCGACCATCCAGGAACGCTCGCATTATAACCGATGGCAGATTAGAAATAACAGAAGTCTTAATGACAAGCCAGAGATATCATTTGCTGCCCCACCCCTCTGATGCTTGTCTCATTAAAACATGCATGGCTGCCTTTTTAGGTCACACAGCAGCAGACAAAAGCAACACCCTGGGCACGCCCTGCAACCTGACGGCCACCATCCTCTCGCTTTCTTAAATCAGCATTCTCGACAACAAATACATTCAGAAAAAAAAACAGCCCAATATAAGAGATAATAAAAACTACTACTACCACAGAATGACTCTAAAATATGAGCTGCACTTCGCAAAGCATAAGCATGAAAATGACTGCTATTACAGCACATTATGCCAAGGCGTTTCTAAGGTAAGAACCACCAGACAGAAATGAAGGTGGGTGGTGCAATTGTTCCAACATGTGTGAACCTGAGAAGGGCAAAATTTCAAGTGCTACTGACTGAAGCAATCACAGAAAAGGCAACGCCCCAATTTTCCTGATATCCAATATGTTCTGTAAACACCCGAAAATCCTTTCAAAATTTTACTTAATGTCAACATTATTTTATTTGTCTGCTGTGGAACATTGAAGCACAAGCAGTATCTGTTCTGGGGTAACAGTTGACCACGCTTTGTTATTCTTTTGTGATTATGAGTGAAGCAGCAAAATCCGCCCATTTATTTTTTTTGTTTTGTTTTTTGCCATCTCAGGGGGCAGCCATTTTGCTACTTTCTGTCAACTCGATATGACATCACAGTTGCTCAAGGATTATGTCACGACCAACCACAGCTCACCTGTTTGCTGATGTCGAGCCATGATTGGGCGTTACCTGAGCTCTGAGCATATGACACACAGCTATAGCTATGAAACCATACATCAAAGTCATTTGTGGTCTGTTTTTGTGGGATTAGTTCCAAAAAGAAAAAAAAATTTTTTTTTTTTCATCAGCCACCAATGATTTTCAAAAATAATTAGGATATTAACAATATGAACTCAATATTGAAGCATATCTGTAGCGCCGGTTGCCTGCCTTGAAAACACCCACAGAGTTAGAATAATTGCTCCGTGTATTTCCTGTGTGCATACATTTATTTTCGCAATACCCTTAAATTACAAGCATTTGTCAAAGGGATCTAATAATAGACCTGTGTTTGAGTCTGCTCAATGATAGGTCCCCGCTTTAGATGCCTTTTGAATTTGAGTCACTTTGTACCACCCCTGTGGGTCATTTGAAGTTCTAATGTAATTAGTCTGTCTACTAACTTGCGTTTCAGACCGGTTCCAGATCATGAAAATATGACTGTTTCTCTTACAGCCAACCCTAGTACTTTATTTTCATCACAGATGATGCACAGGCCACACGTTTCCCCGCTCTAATTCTGGCCTACAGTAACAACTTTGCGGTCCCCTGGAGAGCATTCTGGAAAAGTCCAGAAAAGAATAAAAGCAAAGCTTTCCATTCGTGGTATAGTTTGTCACAGAGAGCAGCTTCCGCTTTCCTTGCATGGATCTTATTAGTCAACACGGGCAATCGGCACCTACAACAGACTGCTTTTATCATTCACAGGTCTGAGGGAGAGGCCTGCCGTTTGTAACTGCCTATCACAGGGACGTCCCCTAGATCAGGTGAACACGCGAGCACACGCGAGCCTTTCAACAACGTGGCTTTTTTGCTCCAACAAAAGAAAATAAATTGTTGCAATTTTCCACTTAAGTGAAGAGATCTTTTATTTCATTTTATTTTTTTTTAAACATTTTGGTTTTGTACTTTCTGCCAAAGAATTGCACACAAATCTAGGCAATTCATGACTTGTGATTGGACTTTCCACATCCTTTTAAATGCGGCTGGACCTGAAAGAAATACCAGATGTGCAAAAAAATGAGCCCCAGGAATCTGCATCCTTTGAGCCAAATAGTTGTAAAAGTTACTGTCATTTTGTGGTTGAAGAAAAGCGAATGCCGTGAGAGCCTTTTCGGTCCGTTCCGATGCTGACGAGGGATTGAAGAACAGTAACTGTAGGCAAGCATTGCACGCATATGGCTCTCACAAAGCACGAGTGACATGTCAGATGACATGACTAAATGTTACTCGCTATCATTACAAGACAAAGACCCAGATCCAGAGTATGCACAAACGTGTAATCTCCCCCCTGGAACCGATTGCGTTCATTCTTTTCGGCTGTGCGGTTTTTTTTTTTTGGGTCAAGGCTGATGTAACACAGCGGATTAAAAGATCTAAAGTAGCAGCCAGCGTCTGTGATGACTTCAGCATGCGACATTTACTGCGCTGACATTTAATTTGATTTGCGCTGAACGCTGTCAGCAATACTTTGACTTCAATCTATGTTGCAGCAGAGTCCTCCTCTTTTATTATGAGGACACGAAGAGCCCAGGAATTTTCTTCAAATAAAACAGTGTCAGTGTTTCAAGGCTTGTGGACTTTGGCTAATAACTCGGTTAAAGTTTTTCTTTTTATCTTAAAATGGCTAACCCTAACTAGAATCTTGCATTGCATCGCAGCCAAAGGCACACATTTTATAACATGGAGACTCACACCTAATAAAGCGAAGTGGCCAGTATATGCACATAGTTATTTTGATGGCTAAATTTAGCTGCTGCGGTTTTTAATCTGGTGCGCTTCGCAGTACGGAAATTACAGTCTTCACTGTAAATGATGTGATCTTACCAGGTAAGATATTGTTGACAGGCGTTGCAATATTGATGTCCTGCAAGTGCTCAAGGGTCTCAGTGTGAAAGAGGCGCAAGGTGGAACCTGAGCTGAAGGCAATCCAGATGCCCACGCCAGCCACCACCATTTGGGACACCACCATACCCTCCTCCTGATGGGCCTCCAATTGCCTCTGGGTGGGGAAAATAGCACAGGTGAGAGGGCAAGTATAGTACCAGGAATAAGTGAATCATAAAAAAATTTAAAAAAGAACAATATGATGAAGACCGGCACTTCTCAGCGTGACACCCAAATGTGGGTGTCCAAGACTGGCAAGTGTTAAACGTGTAAAACTGAAATCACATTGAGGAAAAAGCACATTCCCCGAGCCACAAGTTACATAACCGCACCACACATTGCACTACGCGGAGGTGGTGTTAAATTTAGTCGAGTGGTGTCCATTCACAAGCGCCTCAGAGCAATATGAAGAATTAGCTCACAATCAAGCAGGAAATGTGTTCAATGTGTGTTTCATTGATCAAAAGGAGTCAGCATGACAACTCAATGACTTGTAATACGTCTCGCCCTCTGTTACTGGCCGAAGTCTGATTCCTCGGTGGCGAACGGAATAAGAGCAAGATAGGCAGGTGGTCCAACATAATGAGCTTAATGAGGCTAAACAGATTATGAGTGAGTGCATGTCAGTGGGACGGGACTATTTTTGGTCCCTGGCAGGTGCTTCCATTTCTGAAACTAGAATGGAACACGAATGGGGAAGACTACATTCTTAGTCATATTTCAGACTACGAAAAGGAGGAGGCCCAATCGCGGGAAATCAGACATTCCCTATTATTATTATCATTATTATCATCATGTGAACTTTTTATTTTTAATCACCTTCTGTGAGTGTGTGTTGTTGTTGTTTTTTGATCTTTACTTTTTAATTCTCACTACGACACCGTCAGTGCTACAGTGTCGTTTTTAGAGGAACACATTTTCTCACAGACTTAACAATTGGATCGGAGATGATTTGGGCCGCTATCATGTCTTCTACTAGAGAGTACTTCCGGTGTGATTTGCACAAGCAGACGGGGACAGATAAGAGAAGAATGAGCACTTTTTTTCCCCATACTCCTCACAAAGATTAGCCCCACCTCCCAAAAAAAATGAACTGGCCTCTTTAAGTAACATGTGCGGTACCTACCTCCACAAGGTGTGTCTCTGCACTAATGATGAAGACCTGCCCGCCCGATGAAGCCCAGAGGTGCTCTTCTACAGCCAGCATGGCTTTGATCGGCAAGACTCCCAGCTTCAGCACCTTGGGCTTATCGCTGATCCATAACCCCTCTGCAGTGGGTAAATGACACATCGATATGACATCAACACATGAGTTATTGTACATTGATGACAACCTTTGCACTTGTACTACTGCACGGCCCATTGCCATCTCGCAACAAAGGCCAGTCTTCTTGAACTTTATCAAGGAAATGTTGACACTGCCTTTATAAATGTCACCTATAAAGGTCATTTGCATCAAGAACACTTCGAATACTGCCGGAGAGGCCATTGGCGGTTTTCATAGCCCCCCACTATGAATATAGATGCGCCGTGAAGCATGAGTCATCGCCAAGCTCCATCCTGCTCGCACTTCCTACACACTCAGCTCTCCATGTGCCTGGCACCCACGGTGGCAGCTCGGCACAGATGCGACACGCAAAGGGAGCAGACATTTGATGGACCAAAAAAAAAAAAAAAAATCTTAAATTAAACGAAAGCCAGTTGGTGTCGCGGCATGATTGTGCAGCCATCTGCAATGGTTCAATGACTTTTAGTGTAAAAGACCTTGCATAGCGTACATAGTTGTGATGCCAATCCCATCTGAAACATTTACGATGACGTCAACAGGTTTCCCGGTCAAAGTGAAAGCTCTCTGACCTTACAAAAAGATCCACGGGATAAACTGGCATATCCCCCCTCCCACCCCACTGACAAATGACCATTGCATGGTGTAAAAAAAACGAACCTCAGTGCTTTGGATGGTATGATCGGAGCGATAGTCTTTTTTCAAGTAACTTCCCAGGTAATTTCAAAGTTCTTCACATCTGGCATTTTCTTTTCCTCACTCACTTTGTTGTCCGATTTTTAGAATAAGTGTTGCATAAAGTCACACAAGGGCAAAAAAAATGAAACACAAAAAATGAAACACAGAGTTAGAGTTAAATCTTTGACTCTCACTCAACTGACAACCGATTATCCATAACGGCAACTTTTGGAATAAGTGTGACCAAAAATGAAAAAAAAAAAAAAAAAAAGTAAAAAAATCATGTGCCAGTTTGAAGTTTTGAACAACCGCAGAGGCATTCACATTTCTTTCATGTTTTTCCCTTCCAACTGTCTTAAAAACTCTTGCCCATATACTTAATGCTTTGTTGGACAGGGCCAAGTCAGAATTTTAAAATATACACCAGTAAACAAACAAAAAAAAAAAAGATTACGTCAAATTAATATTAAAAAAAAAAGTCTCCAGCGTGAATTACTAAGCAAGAAGGGCCCAGTCTCCAAATTGAAGTTCATTTCCTCCAGATGCCACAATGACTTGCCTAATCTCAACCAGGAAGTGAACGAGGCCTCACCAACAGTGTTTGTTCAAGGGGAGTTACAAAGGCAGCTATTGAAGGAGAGGAGGAGAGGTGCCACACCGGCAGAGATTTCTCTCCGAAGAGAAGTACACTCATGACTGAGAAAGCAGAAGTAATCTCACACTACAGAGGCTAGGTGGAATAAACATTCCAAGCAACGCCCTTGCTGTATTATTGTAATAGGGGATGCGTGCATCGAAAAAGGATTGAGCCGATTGAGCCGTGCCGGTAAAGCACAAAAATACAAAAGTGCGGACTGCAGAAGTGTCCTCATCGGTCCCTGAATGATAACTTAACATGCGCTTATACGTGGTAGTAAACAAATCATCAAACCAGCATATCTGTTTTTTTTTTTACATTCAAAACAACCTCCTCACTGTGCGGCGATGACGGGAGACTTTTGCCAAATGACAGCCTCGCTTTCTTATATCTTCCCTCCCACAGTCGTCCACAAATCAAAAGCAAGTGGAGCGGAATGAGGATGACTGAGCAGCTTCACGTATGCATTCTAAGAGTTTTCACAGTAAGAAAACGGAGAGACGCAACGCGGCATCACTTGTCACTTCAAGCACTTTTTGATGTTTCGTTCCAATTCATTGTTTGATCAGGAGTGTGACAGCTCTCCAGAGTGGAACATAGGTTGCTTGGCTTCTTGTTTCGATACAGTAGCTGCGCTTTGTGACATAATGAAGTCGTAGAAAGGGTTGGGAAGAGAGAAGAGGCGTGCTCGTGATCGATCAATAACTGATTAAGCTGATCATGAGAAAGTCGTAAATTTGGATTAGCTAGGTTGGCTTGAAGAACTGCAAGCATAGTGGCAGCACTGTTTTTTTTTTTGTTTTGTTTTCTCACGAGTTCGCAATGTGAAATAGGCAAAAAAGTCCCCAAAATGTATAATTTAAGTGAGAACGGCAAAAATATTCCATCACCACAAAGTCGGTATACTGGGATGTCTGCTTTCAGCTTTTGGAATGGTCACAAGAATATTCTCATGACAAAATTTATTCGCATGATCACATTTCTCTCCGAAAATCAGTTGGCTCGAGTGAATTTATTCTGTTACGGTTGTTTTACACATTTTAATATGAGCTTTTTTCTCCCCACCTCTTGTTCTGCTCCTTTTATAAGAGCCACATTTTTTTTTTTAACAAGGCAGACACTTTGGATTTTTACCCAGTTCATGTATACTTGTCCAGGTGATTGATTTGGAAAAGGTCATCACTTTGATGAAGTACACGACAGTATGCCAAAAGTCAGTTGCTGTGAAAATGTTCTTCAGGAGCTTTGCAACGGAAACCCAAGCAAGCGTTCTCCCACCGAATAAACTACGAGTGACAAATATAGTATCAAGAATTACATTTCAGCAAAAACAGTTGCTTTGAGGATGAAATCAAGCATTACAGAGGATAACAGACCAAAATGAGAATATTCAGCTGCACCAAAGCCAAACAAAGACACTGCCATGCTCTCTCCTAATTAGTGGGCGCTGGATGAAGGAGCAAAAAGATGCGGCAAGCAGAGCAAGTTATGATGGGAAGTCAACAACACAGTCCAGTGCATTTGACTAATGCTTCTCCCAGAAGTAATTGGAATGATATATTTTGGTTGACCAAATACATGCGTATTATTATGAAAAAAATGAACGTGAATAATGAGAAAATAAGTGAACTGGAGAGAATGTCTGAAAGCCATGTAACAGATGGAACAAAACGGGGAATGGCACAGACGGTGGGAAAAGAGTCCAGCCTGGATCCTTTCCTCTCTCTCTCTGTGTATGTCTGAAGCGAGGATATTAAATAGGTCACCTCTTTCAGAATGGCTTCTCCCAGACAACCAGGCAAATGGAAACAGGACCACAACACACACACACGCACACATACACACCCACAAAAAGTTGACCCACGACCACTCGATGCACAGTCAGCGCTAACTCCACCAGCCACCGTGACAGAGCCACCAACTTCGCAACAATGCACTGATTCACATGTGTTGTGGTTGAAACTGACATCCATTTATGTCAGGCTCAGACTAAATATCTGCGCAAATGGTGCTTGGGTTTAAAAACACATTTCAATTAACGAAGTGAATATGGTTTTGTTTGATACAATTAGAGTGACGTCACCAAAATTGGCCTCATTCGAGCCATTTAAGGGGGTCAACCAGCAAGTGCATTAGGCCATCCCACAGACAGACATACCCCGAGATCTGGAGTAGATGGCCACAGAGCCGCTGACCAGGCCAGCATACAAACAGTGTTTCATGTAAGCCAAGCTGGTGACAGTGGATTTGTCTGGGGTGAAGAACTGCTGCAGGCGCACTTTCTTGGACCGCTGGCTGCTTTTGTAGACAATAATGCTGAAAACAAAAAGATATATATATATTTTACAGGCGCATAGATACAGTACATTGGTGTCAAGTGAAATATAATAATTGGCCATTTTATTAGGTACACCCGTGTCTGTTCACTTGAACCGTTTCAGGGGACAGCGGTTACTAGAGTGGACAGCATATTATCAGGTGAAAGGGTGCATGAAAGGGTTACATTATGTATCATAGTTGTAGAGTGGAGTGGTCTAATACCATCCTGCATTGTTCTGTCAGACATTTTAAAAATCGTATGTTAAATCCAGACTAATTTTGAGTTATTTAGAGGCATGCGCCATGCCATGCCTTCATATCAAGCTAGCTAAACTGTTGTAGTTTGCCAGAGCGAGTCACTTGAATGATTGCTTTGGTCAATGTTTTTTCAGACAGATGACCTCACAGAACCATGCCAACGATTTTTTTTTTTTTTTAATCCGGGTTTCAGACTAACCGTGGTTCGGAATAGGCGCACTTGCAGGGATTCAAACCTGCCCCATCTGCAATACAGGCAGCATATGCCAATCAGAATGTTAAATTCATGGTTAGCCGTAATGATAATTTCGCATAAAAACACCATTCATTGAGTATTACTATATTTAAATATGGAATTGCTTGAATTGTACCAAGCAGAAATAATGATGTGAAGTGTACCGAATATTAGGTCAATGAGCGTATGTTTAACATTAACATTACATTACCATATGCATATAGTATTTGTAGTTTCATTGAAGATGACTCTTAATTCATTGGATGACATGAAATAAACATACAAACATAGTAATGTAACAAACCTCAGTAGCTCATGCTATTGCAAATTACAACTTGTACGGGGACATGTGACATTTAAGTATTTAGGGTGCGCAGTCATTTTTCGAATCTTATGCTTCCATTACCTGCCCTCCTCCATGCCAAGGCAAACAGTGGGTGTGACACTGGCTTTTGACAGCAAGACCTGGTTGTTTTGTTGGACTTGACTTTCATCATTCTCCTGAGGCTCTTCTGCTGGGACATATGCCATGCACAGGATACGGGACTCCACATTAAAGCACTCCGTCACCTTTGGGCTGCAGCTCTGCATGGCAACAATGGCTATCTGGCCCATCTGGTTGGTGCAACTTGCAACCTACAGAGTGAAATGTGTTTAAAAATTCAAGCCCTCGGGATGTTTTAAACTGTACTCTTAAAATTACACACTAAGCCAAGACCGATGAGGTACCGAGTCATGAAAGCTAAGAAAACATTTACTGCTGGGAGAAATGCCTAAACCCAAAGTTACTATTAAAAAGAATGGAAAAACATCTTGATTGTTAAGTAGAGAAGTGTCCTGTTACCTGGCATGTGTGCTTAATTGAACTATAGTCAGGAGTTGCAAGCAAAGGGATGTCAAATTAGGTGACCTTAAGTGACCTTCAGCAGCCAGCCAGCTGCAGGACGCGTTCAACATGCAGTATATTAAATCGTCAAGTCTTAACTTAATAATTTTGTTATTGTTCAGTGCTGAAGGGGCTATGACCACAGCAATTGTTATCTGAAAGAAGGCAGAAAGACATCCTACCCAGACACAACCGTGGCCCACGGCGGGAGTGTCTGCTGTGCTCTCTGTATTGATGTAGGGCTCCGGGTTGTGGACTGCACACTCCACCTAACACAGAGACCATGGAATATTATAGATTTACACAGTAATTTATCCGAAATTTTAAAAACAATATATATTGAATATAGAGTGTACCGAACAGCACTTTGCAGAGTTTAAATAGCTACTGAATGGAAGAGGCACGTCAAAAGCTCAACACACGATCAGGGACACAGACTTGGTCAAACTCTGAAAATAACCAAGGCAATTTCTTGCAGGATGTCAACTTTACAAGAAAATGATTGCAGTACTTATTCATGCACAAAGCTACCGCCTGCAGCAAGAAAAAAAAAAAGTCTCACCTTGAACTCTTGTAGTTTAGACATGACCACGGGCATCTGTTTGAGCAAGAGGGGGTGTTTCTGCTTTTTGAGTTGATTTCCATCATCTTCTGCAAACAACCAGCCCTGAAGGTTGTCCTCCTCTAATGTAAAAATACACACACAGGATGCTTGATCATCCTGTACATACTTGAAACTTATATGCGCGTCATCATAACAGTGAAGCACCAAACAATTCAGCATTTTACAGCCTAGAAGTGGACTGTACCTAGAGCCAGTTTAGCCATTTGCAAGTTACTGATCCACGACTGTTTGATGGCTGGGTTGAGAGTATTGAACACTGCACTAAAGTATGTGGCTTTGCCCAACCTGCGAACAAAGAGAAGAAAGGAAAAAAGCTTGGACCCTTTTTGCATTTTGAGGTTAAACGTACTGTCAGATAAACAATGCAATTAACATGCCAAAGAAGCAGATTTCATTTTGTTATGATTGTTACGTCCTCAATTATTTTCCGCAGACGTTTGTCACACATAGATTTGACTGTATTGCCCATGCAAGTTAATAACCCTTCAACAACACTGGAAAACATTTGATTCACTTTCTGAGATTTTAATGTTTGATTTGCCATCCATCCATTTTCTGAACCGCTTTATCCTCACAAGGGTTGCGGGGCGTGCTAGAGCCTCGGGAGTGTCTGCTGTGCTCTCTGTATTGATGTAGGGCTCCGGGTTGTGGACTGCACACTCCACCTAACACAGAGACCATGGAATATTATAGATTTACACAGTAATTTATCCGAAATTTTAAAAACAATATATATTGAATATAGAGTGTACCGAACAGCACTTTGCAGAGTTTAAATAGCTACTGAATGGAAGAGGCACGTCAAAAGCTCAACACACGATCAGGGACACAGACTTGGTCAAACTCTGAAAATAACCAAGGCAATTTCTTGCAGGATGTCAACTTTACAAGAAAATGATTGCAGTACTTATTCATGCACAAAGCTACCGCCTGCAGCAAGAAAAAAAAAAAGTCTCACCTTGAACTCTTGTAGTTTAGACATGACCACGGGCATCTGTTTGAGCAAGAGGGGGTGTTTCTGCTTTTTGAGTTGATTTCCATCATCTTCTGCAAACAACCAGCCCTGAAGGTTGTCCTCCTCTAATGTAAAAATACACACACAGGATGCTTGATCATCCTGTACATACTTGAAACTTATATGCGCGTCATCATAACAGTGAAGCACCAAACAATTCAGCATTTTACAGCCTAGAAGTGGACTGTACCTAGAGCCAGTTTAGCCATTTGCAAGTTACTGATCCACGACTGTTTGATGGCTGGGTTGAGAGTATTGAACACTGCACTAAAGTATGTGGCTTTGCCCAACCTGCGAACAAAGAGAAGAAAGGAAAAAAGCTTGGACCCTTTTTGCATTTTGAGGTTAAACGTACTGTCAGATAAACAATGCAATTAACATGCCAAAGAAGCAGATTTCATTTTGTTATGATTGTTACGTCCTCAATTATTTTCCGCAGACGTTTGTCACACATAGATTTGACTGTATTGCCCATGCAAGTTAATAACCCTTCAACAACACTGGAAAACATTTGATTCACTTTCTGAGATTTTAATGTTTGATTTGCCATCCATCCATTTTCTGAACCGCTTTATCCTCACAAGGGTTGCGGGGCGTGCTAGAGCCTATCCCAGCTGTCTTTGGGCAGTAGGCTGGGGACACTCTGAAGTCAGTCAAATAAAATAAAATGACATCTGTCTAAGCTGATGCTACCTCAAGGGGGAGGACTCTTTCAATGCGGATTGATAAATGCAGGCTGACAGAAGACGAAGACATATCACTATTCTAGCGCTCGCAACTTTCCAAGCATAATCTCACAAGCTGAGGGTAGCAGAAATGATGAGAATAAGAAAGTAAAAGCCAGAAGGAGAAGACAGTTAAGGAGAATGCAAGAAAGTCCCCCCCCCCATAAAAAAATGGGGTGCGCCCTTGGAGGAGGGGGGGGGGGCAGCATCCAGGGTTTATTGGTACACGTGTAAATTTGTGACATGAGTAATAATGTTGGGAAACAGCTGCAGTGCTGGTTTGCCATGAGAAAAGGATCCGCATTTCCTCCTTTGCGATTCATATCTCCGATTAGGGGTAATGCAGGAACATGCTCATTCAAGTGTGTTCTCATGGTCTCTTCTAGAGCTATAAACACGGGAGTGGGAATAAATGCAGGAAAAGGGATACACACGGGGTGAAGGCAAAGTGAAGGAATGCCCATGCATAAATAAACGGTTGAGGATTATAGTTCATAGCTACATTAAATTGCAACAACAACAACAACAACAGACTTGTCTTGTTTGCCAGGCAGCTGAAGCTGGATCCTGCAGCGGTCAGCTGCCCTAATCTCTTCTTCCTTTTTCAGAATCAGCCTCTGGAGACCCGAAACCCAGTCCTGGGCCACTGTGGGGTTCACATTCTAAACAGGCAGAATAGATTTTGAAAAGCCAGAAGCAGAGAGGAGGGGAAAAAATATGAAATGTTCACTACCAAAATGAATACATTACTAATCAATAAAACATTGTGTGAATCTTTTGTGGCAAACAGAAGTTGAAGAGCTCCAAATGTAGACAACAACAAAGTAAAAAAAAAAAGCATCATAACCATCTCAAGCGTTTCCCTGCCTTTTCGACAGCCTGCATACCTACTACACGTACACACATCACATCTCAGTTGAAAATAAAGAAGGCCAATTATTTATATGCTCTTAAATGTTGAATTCCAAGTTCCCACACCCCTTCATGGTCGTAAACTTGCACCTCTTAAAGTGGTGTGAGCACTTGTGGGGGCGCGCTAATTTAAAGCTTCGTCACATTGTTTGGGGTCCTTCACTACTGTTCTTCTTTAAACAAAAACGTAAGTACAAAAATTTCAAAATCTAAAAAAAAAAAAAAACAAAAAAAAAACAGAGAATTAATACCACTGTTTATACAAAACTGGAGCAAAGAGAATCAAATGGACTTTGGTCTCCATCAAGTAACGAACTATCATTGGAGGTGCCGGTTTAATAACGTCTCGTTTGATGATACCAATGGCTGAATCTTTCATGGAGCAATTTACAAAATTATAATTAGAATCTGTGTCATTCAGAATATTAAATTTATATCAAGGGACACAGCCTCTTTTAATTGGTATGTTCCACTTAACCTATACACCTGAGACTAGTGCACATAGGAGCTTAATCGGTAGTCTGGCTCGTACTAAAAAAAAAAAGAAAAAGGGGATTTTTTTTCCATTTTCTTAACATCACTTTGGACTTCTTCCTGAAACAGTAAAGAATAATAATCCGGACACAGTGCTACAACACAGCTACCTGGTAGTTGCCTTTGAGGCTGCTGATCATGCCAGAGATCTGGTTGACCAGGTTCAGGTCATGGATTAGGTTCTGCAGATCTTGATACAGCTGACCTGGGCCCATGTAGAGTTTGTCTACACAGAGACACAGAAGCATAAGTGACTGGCAGTCATCAAAGGTGACACGTATGATGTACAGCATTCACAGGACAAAGCCAGCACAGAGACTGAGATGCGTCAAAAGGAGATCAATAAAGGGCGATAGGTCTGTTTCCCACGGTAATCGCCGACAGCTATGCAAACTAGGCTACCGCTCATGGGCCACAGGTATTTTTTCATAAGGTCATCTGGATGGCTTTAAGCATTGCCTTTTTGCACTTCTCAAACAATGTGTTGGGGTGCAAGCACTTGCTGTAATAGGCAATGTGAACAGGTACCAGTATTTTTTAGCCGAGCAATGCTGACCAGAAGAACCGAGGGGCTTATGCGAGCAGAGTAAAAAAAAAAAAAAAAAACATATCCAATGTCAAGGTAATATCCCTGTCCAGTTTCCCAACTGTTAACTCAAAAAAAAAAAACAAACAAAAAAAAAAACTGTCAGACTACAAAATGCCAATACTACCCTTAGAAATGCATGAGCGCCCCCTGCATGCTGTACACCATCCAACAGTTGATTTTAGCGGTTTGGTGAGTAGCCTACTGCGTTAATTCACTCTTCTGTACTGTACTGTAGATGTTGATAATGTCATTAAAATTATCCACATCAATTTTTATGTGCATAAACTACAGATAAGACAAAATTCAAAGAGATATGACGCTCTTTTGCTCCACGTGGCTTCATCTGAACTGTTCGGTACAAAAGAAGCTGTATGTGATTTTCAAGGATCATCTGACAGAATAAACAGACAAGGGATTGAATTCCGGTCAGGAATTCAGGCAAAAAGGCTGAATAAACCGTCCATGAATGATATATGGCGTGTCATGTCAGAAGCGCGTTCTATAACGGTCCGTGTGCATTCAGTCAAGGCAGGGGGCTGCCTGACCAGTATGGTTCCACTGAACATTTGTTCCAATATCCACACCACTTTCCGTCACTCATTTGTTGTGATTTTTTTCTAAATAGTTTGTATGTGCAAAATCTGGGTTTTTTTTTGTATTTGATGTCAATTTGTCTACATCAAAAATGAATGATACTTAACATTTCACACAAGCAAACACAGGCACAGCATTTTAATGTCTACATCGAGAACTTCTGACAGAGGTAGAAGTGTATTCATTAGAATAACTGACCTCATTAAATTGACCATTCACTGCTGAACCGCGGTGATTGCCAGTGAAATTAGTGTCCAACTCGTGAATGACTCTTTGTGAGAGAGCCAGCATTTTCAAACAAAACAGACAAAGAGGAGCATCCTCACACGAGACCCACCCCAGCAATTAGATAAACCCCAAAACAATATGCTGGACTTATTGTGTTGACAGTTTTTATGTTATGAATGAGGATAAGCGGATAATGGATGGATGGATTTATTCTTTTAACAGTCTGTTTTTGTATGTGATGAAGGTGCATGTCCTCTTACACTGATTTCTTTTTGTCACATGAATTATAGATTGCACAATTTCAGCAAGACACCTTTACAATGTAATCGGGGGAGGGCTCCATCCAGTCATTTTTTTTCTGGCTTTCTCCTAGCGTGAAGCGCAAACACACTTGTGTCAGGGCAAGAGAAAGCTGCCATTCTGTCAGTTGGAAACTTGTGATGTTATGGAGGTCTGTCTGTGCCATCTGTTACACAAACTCATATACAGTACGAGCTGGAGAGCTTATTTAGCTCATTGACAAAACAGTGACTGGTGAATTAATATGACATAGATCACATATTGGGCTGATTAGGTGTGTTAGTAGTCATTCTATAATGAATAGGAAGAGCAGTGTGTCGGTTGAAAAAAATAATTGTATATGCAAGACTGTATTGTATTGTCCAGGTGAAATATGAATTGACAGGGTAAGTCATCAACGTTAGGGGGCCGCGATGTGAAATCGTTATTAGCTGTGGAACGGAAGAGACGTCACAGCTGCAGTTGCACCTGGCCTATTTAACCATTCAATTCTGTGTACACCATGACTGAGATGCAGCGGCTTTGAGAGGAAGTGTTCTTGTTGTGGAAGACATTAGCAAAATGAAATCCAGCAAGGCTCATAACTCTGGAAGTACTTGTAGATGATAATGTTTGTGATCATGGTTTATTAATTATGTAGCTTTTGTACATGTTGTGAAACCAAATTCACAATTTCGCAAGTAAAAAGACCTAAAAGTGGCGGGCCTCACAAATGATGTTTTGAAATATTTTTTTTTAGATAAGGGGAAACAGCAGCAGTTTTGACAGCTTGGGGTTTGTTCCCCTCTAAAGTGGCTCAGTGGGCATCGGTGACAGGAATGAGCCAAGAGTTTCCACTGACATCATTGCACTGGACAGCTAACAGTCTTGAGGATTGAAAGGGGGAAATTATGCACTCAACTGGCAGGACAGACCTTTGGTAAATTTTGGAAACATCTGGAAATTCCAGGAAAATGACAACAATGGGCGACAACGTGAATAATTTCATCTGAGACTCCTAAATCGAGGCCCATAGACTTACACTTAAGTCAATGGGTCTGGAAAAAAAAAGAGGCAATTTTAGGGTTGCGCTCTATGAAGCAATCCATCACAGAAGTTGTTGGCTGAATGTCCAAACACTCAGGGCCCAAGAAGGTATCAATATTCATTACCTTAGGATTCTGGACTCTGTTACTGAAAGGCAAAGAGTAGACAAGCAGACATACTTGGCTTTGCATTGATGACCACTTTCTCCCCAGAATGGGAGGTAGGGTAGCGGGTGGTGTCCGGAATGTCCTCACTGGACCCAAACTCCAGCGCTTCTACAAAGCTCAAAGGAACACTCCACTTTAGAAGGTAGCGCTGGTCAATTGGGGCACCGCCACTACTACTGCCGTCCTGGCACCTGACAAGAGAAGATAATGGTTTAAAAAACAACAACAACAAAATTGAGCTGGGCAACCCTTTGTAATTGGAAAAATAAAATGAGATGTTGTTCAAATTCAAAAGGGTAACTGTTTCGGAGAATAAATGGATGAATGAAAACACAGGCATATATTATATGAGTGTACATTAATTTACGAGCATCAGTTGCACACAAAATCGCTGTTCAAAGAAAAACAAAGGAACAGAACATGAATTCCATAAAAAGAAAAACTAACTCAAAGAACAAATAAATGTTACTTTTACTGTGGTCTTACATACTGGAGGTAAAATGGGCTGTCACTTATATAGCGCTTTTGTTAACTTATTGACCTACTGATGACACAGCATTGGCAAGGGCCCATCTCATTTTGGCAGTAAAGAAGGGTTACAACAAAGTCATTTAATTTCGACCATCTTCAAAAGGGATTGCTTGCAAAGATACTTGGAAAAATTCCATGGTACAGTGGCTACCCTCACACACAGTGTTTAGCATCTCTCTGTTTTACTACAGTCTAACTGAAACACACAAACCAAAACCCAATACGAAATAAATGAAAAAAACCAACGGAACACAGTATATTGGTACTCATGGAGAGGAGAAGACGTCATTTAAGGGGGAGCATTAACATAATTTACAGTAGTTTACGGTCACTGACCGCATATTGGCCGTGGCACACATCAGGACATCGTTGAGCAGGAAAAGGCGTCGCTCCTTTGTTTTGATGACTTCACCACGCTCATTGTAGACTGTCTCCACCATGTCGTCTGAACGGATCAGGTAGCGGCTACCGTTGCTCAGAAGCTAACAGGATAAAAGCAAAGCAAAGAGTGTGCTTGAGTGTTTCTTTCCTTCTGTAATAATGTTCAGTGACGCAAAAGTTAATGAGAAAATCTTAATTTCATTCCTGCTCATTTGCTCAACTTGTATTCAGAATAAGTGAGATAAAAGCAAAGTCATGTGAGGTCATGAAAAGCAGAATCCATGTAAATTGAAAAAATGCTTCCTTTGGGGAATTGAATAAAATTTAAAGAAACAAAAAGTCAAAGTAATTTAAAGACATACAATACAATACAATGCATCTTTATTTACAAAATGTCGAAAACTTTCAAATGTAGAACTAAGTCAACTTGAAAACCCGAGACTATACGCAAACGGTGCACAACATGTACAGAACCTTGTTGAGGTAGCGCTCATTCACAGCCTTTGCAATGTGACGAATCTCGCAGCGCTGGTCGGCTTCTCTCTTCTTTTCATTGAGCTTCTCAGCCAGGGTCTCAAGTTCTGTTAAGGCCATCTGCAGGGGCAGGCGGTCTGCATGGCCCACTGGTGTGTTTCTGAGCATGTCCTGGTGAGAAAAAAAAAAAAAAACAGTCCACAAAGACCCATGATGTGTAAATACATAACCAAGTTCCACTTTTACATGTAGTGCACTTTCATTTTAGCTGCCTTATTGCATGTAATCATGCAGTGTGCCACTATGTCCCAGTTGTTTTAAAAGAGTAAAAGTGAACCACATTTTTTTTCATGAAGAACCATTTTGCACGCCATGCATTTATTGGCTGTCCTTGATATGACTTGCATTGACCCAGTGCTTATTTTCATGAGTCAAACACTCCATCTGCTGGTGAACTTCATACATGCAACACCTTAAATGTGCTGTCTAACGTGAGCAGTCCGATGACATCATACCTGGAGAAGCAGAATGAACTGTGGGAACCTCTGGATCGGTTTCATCATCAAGCCATACAAAGTCATCCTGTCAGTGCTTGTCTCTTGACGATGCTGGAATAAATAATACAAAACAAATTAGAAATATCCACCAAACAGGTGTTGGCTTTCAAATCAGCAAAGAAATATTTCACCAGCAAATATCGTTTTTAATGTCAAAATGATAAGTACTTAAATATCTAACCTTTAGGAATTCCAGAAAGCCAGGTTTTGATGCACAAGTTTTTCTCACCACTGACATTGCCGTACTGAAGTTGTTCACATACTCACTGTAGGCATCCAGCACCATCGACTTTGAGAACTGTTGAAATAGACAAAATAGCAAAGAAGTGTTTCTTTCTTCTTCCTGTATTCCCCACAACAAGAGCTCGACCTTTCCTGTTGCACATTACTGCCTCTCCGGGTGGAATATTCTTCAGGAAGAACAGTGGTTTCAAAAATATGAGCACAAATCAGACGAATGGAGTTAATGCTGTGTGTTGCACAGGAATTACTGTGAAAAATGAATAGATTATTTTTTTTTTACAATACATCATTATTTATGTAAGGGGTGTCACAGTTATATAGCCCTTGATTTAATTAGTGCTGCAAGGCCCCTATTTTTTCTGTAAAAATTCTTCTTCTCCTCAAAAGAATCACATTTTTCTGTCACTAAACATGAACGAAAAGTCAAACTTGGACCACACACCAGGCCTGGGGAAGTTTTTTTATATTTTCGAGGTTCCATCAATGGGTACAAAAAATGTGGGTCTCTAGCGCCCCCTACAAGGGGTTAACAGAGCCCTGTTTCAGTACGAATATTGGAAGGCGCACGTAGAAGCCAGAGATGTACAAAAAACGATTTTGGGATCCATACCCTAAAATGTATATGAATGTACAATTTAGTGCCTTTATTTTCATATTTACAGGCGTCATACTTTTGCCCACTTGTCCGAGATGCTTAACCCGCCTGCCTTCAAATTTGGGCTGTACCATCTCAACACCTGGGACAAAAACAGGGAAAAAAAAAATTGGAATCTCCAACGTACCAGATTGGATTGGATTGGATTAGATACAACTTTATTGTCAAATGTTGATGGGGCATTTCATAATTCCTTCTTCACAAAGCACTCAGTTGTACATTTCACCTAGAGCTACAAAACTTGGGAGACATCTGTATCAACCCACAACCTACAAAAACTGCAAAGCACTTTCTTACAACCGCAGCCGTTGCGAAAGCGCTATATCAATAAAGAGGTGTTGTATTTATTGTATTGTATAAAAACGGCTTTTGGGGCCATATACTAAACCTAACAGGAAGTCTGCCGTTTTGAATTTTCTTTGGCATTTTGCATTATTTTTGGCTTTTGACAGAGGTCATACTTCAACAAACTCCTCCTTGAAAATGTATCCGATCATCTTCAAAATTTAGGTATCTCAACTCAAGATGTTTTTGATGAAAAGTTATCAACATTTTTTTTTTTTTTGTCCCACGCTGCTGCCGTAGCGATGCGCTGTTTGCAAAGGAAAATGATGCTATTTTTGAGGGGATAAACATGGGTGTGAAACGTTGAAAACACGCAGGGTGGCTAAAATATTTACATTTTAGAGGGTTACTGTCTTATGTGCCAGTACACCAACGTGCCAGTACCACGGGTTGCGAGGGCCCTTTATAGCTGCTTGTAGTTCTGCTTTACAGTACTTTGCCTATCTTGATTCCAAGCTTACCGAGGCTACGAAGACATCACCAATCATCGCCAGGCTGTCCCATTCTGCCACTCGACTTGCCAGAGCAATCTGGAACAGGAAGTGGCACTGCAGGATCTCTCGCACTCTGTAGAAGGTCATCTTGAGTTTCCTGTCGCTCAGTAACCTCGGCTCAATCTGGGACAAGGGCTTTTCATAGTGCTGCAAGTGCAAAAATCATTTTATGTGTAAATGTCATCAAGTGCATCACACAACACAGACAAATTGCTGCTTCTGTCTTGGTATACCTCTAATATTCTCTTCAATGCATCAAGATAGTTCTTCTCACTCTCCAATATAGAGCCCAATATACATCGCCTCACCAACTGTAGGGGACAGTTTTTATGATAGTTTTTAAATTGGTCGCTTTACGAAAATGGGAACTAAATCGTAATTTGCTTACTTGTTGCTGTGACAGCCCCTGTGGGGCTGGACCCAAAATTGGCTCAACGTTAAAACAATCCACCTCAATGAAAAGTTCAGACTCCTCATCGTCCAAACAGGTAGACTTCCTCTCTAAATCGTCATGAAGACAACAACAAAAAAAAGAAATATGATTTTAATAGAATGAACCGTCAAGAAAAAAAAACAAATGCTGTAAAACATGGGACAAACTGCATAATTGCATAAAGGACTAAACTCGGGCATATTCACTTTTACAGTTTACTTACCATTATAGAAAGACTTGGTTTTGATGAAAGACCGTCCCTTCTTAACTGCGGCTTTGGTTTTTTCAAGCCCGTCTTTGGTCCCTTCTTTAGCTGCTTTCACCAACTTTTGCATCTTAAAAGTGGGACAAAAACATAATCAGTCATTTTTAAAACGCAACTTCAAATGGTATACGTTCTACCCAAACTGATGACTGCACTTTGAAAGTTTAGTACATATAGCCCAAGTGCTACTGAGCGTAATGCAGCACACAGAGTAGGAGTGTTGTTAAAATCTGGATGCTAATATAGGATGGCAGCAAGTAACACACAGCAGAGAACGACACAGTAACTGGGACATCTGATAAGTGTAATAAAGAGTTCCTTATCTGGCATTAAGTGCCTCTAAATTTGTTCCTGCAGGTTTTGTACTTTGATTTGTAGATGTTATTATTGAGGAGGGTTGGATCAAAGGTTCTAATTACCTAATTAAGTTTCTGGTAGCTAAATGACCTCTTGCCCCAGTTCACTGTAAAACAATACGTATATAACTAGGCAACACATCATTGTGTCAAACTTTTGAACCTTCAGTGGGATTCAGAATGATGACAGCAGCCAGTGCATCAATCAATCAGGCGAACCCATCACCACTACCACCACCAACACAAAGCAATGACATTCGTGCAGGAGAGGCGTACCACAGGGTCAGTTATAGATGCTCACAGTCAAGTCATCCAGACTGAGAGTTAAAAAAAGGTTGAAACTAGTGGAACACAAGTCAGGCGAGGCGAGCTGCAGCTCGTTTACCTTCTGCTCGTGTTTCTGTTTGAGCTGCTGCAGCTCGACAGTTCCCACTGTATTTGCCATTAGATCTTTCATCTTTTTCTCATAGTGTTCTTTCAAACGGCTCAGATCTTGAGAGAGCTAAACAAAAGCAAAGCAAGCATTATTGATGACGCTTGGCAAGTGTGCTTGGCGGTGATATCTGCAGCAAACCCAAATATGTGGTCATTTTATGTTTGAACACAGTCATAATTATAATGAATAACAACACGAAAGAAAAGTATATTCTTTCGATATTTAAATTTTAAAAGTGCTTTTTTTTGTGGTACTTTTTTCCAAACTCTGATTTCCCTGTGATTTTTTTCCACCAAATCAGAGGAGAGAGTAACATTAGTAGTAAAATAAAAGTATATGATAAACATGTATAACTGTAAAAATGTCATAAATTTAACAAAATATTATTCTATATTTGTTATTGAATTCAAATCATTTAATTAATAATATTAATTTCCATGTAATTTAAGGGGTGTAGAATAATGGGTTAAAAAAAAAAAAAACAATTTCAGAATGTGTGGCTGATACGTTCACATACTGTACATGTTTCAGTAGATGTGCATTTCAAATCCAAGCATGCACTCGAAATTTTTCTGAGCTATTTTTCCTGTTGAAACAGTAACAGTAAAGAAAAGGCTGAGTAAGTACAGTAATTGTGGTACCCACATGGGTCTTCGTCTGGGCGGGCTTCCCCCTCATGAAGGCAACGGGCAGGCCATTCTCAGAGCGCCCTTCCCCATCGCTCGCCTCATCGTAGCTTTCAAACTCACTCGAGCTCCAGCCATTGTCGAGATTACCTCCTTCCTCACCGAGCTCCACATCGTCATAAATCATCTCATCCGGTTCTGAGTGAGCAGAGAAGAAATCAGGATGTGTAAAATAAAATACATAACAGTATCATGTCTACTAAAATATTGAAGCGATATGAAACATCTTGAGCAAAATGGGTTCTAGTTTAATCGAAATTGACTCTAAATATGCATTATTAAGGGAAACAATGTTCAAATTTGCAGGTATTTTTGTTTCTATTTGGCAGCTCATGGGTTGCAGTTTCAGGCGAAAACAGGTTTTGTTAAGATTAGGCAATAAAACTAAAATTTGATTACAAAATGAAACTAAAATTAAAGAAGAGGTGCAATGTAATTGAAGTTTTTGACATAACTTGTAAAAAAATGATGATAACATGAAATACCTGTGTTGGAGTCAGAGTTGTCCCTCGGAACGTCATCGTAAATCACCTCATCAGGGTCTAAAACCATAAAGCACAAATCATGAGCTGCAATGTAACGCTCCTAATTTACAACCATGAGTGGATGTCCACAGTGGTTTGCTTCCTCAATAAAAAAAGGAAGGAGGTCCAAGACCTCAGACAAATTTTGAAACAAAGTGAAACAGTCTGAAGGAGGGGCAACAACTGTGTCTTAGGACAGAAAAATGACACAGTTTTTTGCAGTACTTACTTTCCATCCATGAAGTATTTGCAGGATCCGATACCCACTTTGCCAGAGCATCCTCCTCTCTAATAGGTGGGAAATCTTCAGTGAAAACACTTGGAAGACATTGAAACAAATCCATCAGTCAGTCTTTTCATCTTACAGAATGTAAACAGAAGTGGATTAATTGCAACGGTATTTGTCTGAGAGTTACGGTATCAAATGGCAATGTGCCAAACACACCTGTCAGCGGACATGTTCCCGGTCCGAAGCACTGTGACTGTAGGGAAAGAATGGAGCAAATGTGGTCAAAGCATGCACCTCTTAGTTAGACAGATTTGAACCATAGCTGCTGTTCTAAAAATTGAGATTATCCAACTCGCATACATATTGGAAATACTGACACAAACCAGGTCCATACTGCAAATGGACTTTACAGAAATGCTGTACTTGTAAAATGTGCCGCACGGTGTCACTAAAAATTCCACTTTGCCTTGCAGCAGAGCCAGAAAAAAAGTGAAGTGAAATTTCCAACAAAGCTTGTGTAGGGCTGGAACAAGCGAGATCGTATTACATTTTGAGGCGGAAAAGTTAAATTAGTACTTTGGGTTTAAGTAAAGGCCGGCGCTCTCCAAGTGCCCTGCCATTCTCTCGACAGATGGTGTTTTCACATATTTCACTGGGTCAACTCTATGATAAGATAAACCATATGTGCTTCAAATAAATATGGTGAAGAAGGCACGTCTGACTGTCTTGTAATAATGATGTCAAATGTTTTGATTTGGTGTAACTTTAAATGACTTTCACTCTAAGCTGACTCTACAGCATGCCAGTCTTTCAGGAAACAGCAAAATATTCAATGCCAAAACATTATGGCAGGGGGCTAAAATTAGGATAGATTTCCATGTGGCAAGGCTTTAGGAAAAACAAAGTGAGAGAGTGGAAAAGTGGGGCGCAATGAAAGTTGAGCAAGCACTTGTGTGCCGTGACCTTGGCTACAGTATGTAGGTCTTTGTGCGGGCTGAGAGGAATTTGACCCCTGGCAGAAAATGAAATGACCTTTGACAGTAGCAAGACTGGCACTTGAAGCCGAAAGAGAATGCTTTCCTTTGAAAATTCTTCTTCAATAGTGTGGATGGATTGTAAAGGCATCTATAATTAAAACGATCGTATACCATTTAGAGGGGCTCCTAGATCCTGGCTGGATAAAAAAAAGTGAGAGAAAAATAACAAAAAAACTTCGAATTGATTTTTACCATCCTCATCCACAGAGAGGTGTCGAATGATGACAGGTGTGGTGTAAGCAGGCGTGATGAGCGGTACGCCAGACGGAGTTGCATAGCCGCAGGGCACTGGTATGGAATAGCCTGAGGTGATGCCACCAGGGCTGCTGAGGGTATCCGGGGATTCTCCAACTTGTTCCTTCGGCTCTACTGGTTCAGGCGGAGAAGAGGAGCAATCCTGCTGCTCGTGGTGCTGCGGCTCAAGTGGAGTGATGTCGATCACAGAGTAGGGATTGACTTTGGACAAGCTCTTTGGGAGACTTTGGACATCGCTGGATGCTTCCTGCTGTTCACTCTCTGATGTGAGGAAACACATAGTTAGTAGATAAAATGGTGGCATCAGCCACAATATATCATTCCCTTGTAAACAATAAAATTACATGAAGATAGGTTTCATGTAGTGTTAGGTTTGGCCGATTATGGTCACTTGTCACATTCAGGGGATGCATAGTAAGTGCACAGTTGCATAGTAAGTGTGAAAATGTGTCCCAAATATTCCTTTTACATTCATTAGAAATTTAAATATGAGCTTATAATGAGAATACTACTTTCAAAATAAAACACTTAATGCATTGCTCGGTTACATTTTTTTAGCTAGATGAAAATTAATTTTGCCTCAAAATATGATGTAAGCATACCATTTCTTACAGCCGTAACAATATTGAAGGATCAATATTTCTGAGACAATATCAATAAAAGTTATTGTCTTTGTCTTGGAAGCAGCATTTCAGCAGCATGTATTAAAAGAGTGAGGTCTATTTAGGGATGCTGGAGAGGAGGCTCCATCAGCAAGTTGAATCTCAGATTTAGGAGGAGCAGTGTGGTTTTCATCCTGTCGGTGGAGCAGTGGACCAGGTCTATACCCTCGGGAGGGTCCTCGAGGGTGCATGGGGGGGAGTTCGCTCAACCAGTCTACATGTGCTTTGTGGACTGGAGAAAGCGTTCAACCGTGTCACCCGGGGCAATCTTGTGCAGGGCGCTTCATGAATATGGAGTATCAGATGTCCTAGTACGGGCAGTTTGAACCCTGTACGACCCGTGTCAGAGTTTGGTCACACTGCCGGCAGTAAGTCAAATCTGTTTCCATTGGGGGTTAGACTCCGCCAAGGCTGCCCTTTGTAAGCAGATTCCGTTCGTAACTTTTATGCACAGAATTTCTAGGCGTAACCGCGGTGGTGAGGGTGTGCAGTTTGGTGAGCTAAGAATTACATCACTGTTTTTTTTCCAGATGATGTGCTGCCTTCTTCACGCCGCGACTTTCAACTCTCACTGGAGCAGTTTGCAGCGGAGTGCGAAGGGTCTGGGATGAAAATCAGCACCTCCAAATCTGAGACCCTGGAAAAGGCGAGAATACCCTCTCCAGGTTGACGGTATTAATCAAGAAGTGGTGCAAGTAAGAGATGATGAGTCTCTGGTGAGGCTATGCCTTGCATTACATTCCTTCACTAGAAATACTACAAAGTAACTGGCCTCGCCTGCTGATGCTGGCTGCTGTCAACTGTTAGTGACAAAAACCAGAACCAGTCCAGCAGTAGGCAGTCAGTGATACAAGGTGTCATGAGTGAAATACACCACCCCACTTTAGGATTAGCCAGATAACTAATCAAAACAAATCAAGGGAACGTGAACAACAATGACCAATTGACAAACACTCAGAAGATAGTGACTTATATCTAAAGAAGACGCACATCAAAGAAAGTACTGTATTTTTAACACAACAATTTGTGTGACACAAACCTGTTCTTTGAGCATCGGTTTCGAGAACATCCTCGGGTGGAGGAGGCAGTGGTAAATCAAGCTGGTTTTCCTCAGTCCCCTCAGCAGCAGACGGGACATCTGCTGCTGCTTCAACAGCTGTCAAGAACCGGCATTCGGATGATTCCGCTGAGGGAGGCGTGTCAGGTAAGGTGGAATGTATGTGGGGGGCCAGACTGGGGCTAACACCCTCTGCCGGATGACACACAAGGTCGCTGCAACTCTGATCCTTGTTGCTGGGCTTAGGGGGTGGCCGGTCAACCTCAAGGATGTCATCGCCACTGTCATCAAAGTCAAAGGCTTCCCCTTCATCTTCGTCTTCATCCAAAACTGCATATAGAAATATAAATGATTCCAAAATATGAAGGCGTATAACAGCAGATCCCGATTAGAAAGAAATGAAGTATAACTAACTATATTTATCAATATTTTTTTTAATCAGAGGTTGGTAACAACCACCTATATTTTCTCCGGCACATTTACTCAAGTAACTTTCTCGATTATTGAATCACAACAGCACTCTTGCCTGAGTACAAATTTTGCCGGCTGTATGGAAGACATTTGCCCGACCCACAAAGTGAATTTTATGCACTGTCCACATGGCCATTGAGCTCAGTTGGTTAGAGTCTAAGAGTGTGGTGCCAAGTCATGGGTTCAATCCCTGTGTGGAATTTCAGGACTTGTCATCCCCCAAAGGCCATTTTGGAGCATAAAATTTGTTCAGAAAACACTCCCCTCCAGAAATGAAAATGTCGATCAGTGTCAAAAGTCAAGAGGGTTCAGAAATAACATCAAAGTTAAAGCCAACAAAGCAAGTGAGTGCTTTGAATTCGATTTCTCTTTGTTTTGCAAATGGAACAGCAAATTAGCAAATCTAAACATATGAGATCAAATACAACATCACGAAATGCTTTGTCGGAAAAATACATGTGAAAATAATCAAATGGGTTTTTCAAAAATAACTTTAATGCCTGGTCGCTCTATTTCTGTCCATTTAAGAGCTACGCACAGACTTATAATTAAGGGTGGGGTTGACAAGAACAGTGTATTTTCTCACCCCAAAAATAACATAGCTCCAAAAAAGCAGATTAGAAAAAGATGACTGAGTTAAGGATTCAAGGAATCGCAATCGCATCGGAGTGCTCACTCGGGAACAGACTGGAAGCCCCGCAACTACTATCTTTCCAGTTTCCACACAGCAATTAGGCCAGCCAAATACACAGCTGTGAGGGGAAAGAAGTGCAGCACATGTTGATTTATCTTGGTTTAATAAACGGGGGCAACATTTGTGACATTTAAAACAGAGTCAGACAAAGAGGAGAATACTGCAGGATGAAAAATGTGTCAATATCTGGCACTATACTCTAATATTACAGGTCTGGCACTTTTTCAAGCAAGCGCTGCTCAGTCTTCATTTTTTTTTGCAGTCACGGCTTGATTGTGTTAGAATCCACAGTATGACTCTCACATCCTGAATACATTCCCAAAGATAACACAAAATTCCAACTTTGCACCGGGTGTTTAATTTCCCTCACAACAACGTGGCATGTGCCTCACAGTTTACCTTGTCAACATCTCATTATCTTTTAACAGACTCTGGCCCTTCATGTTTAAGGCCTTTGCTTAAATTATTCTGGTTGCATTTTTTAAATATATAGTTAATCATTATTATTATTATTATTATTATTATTATTATGACTACTACAACTAGTACAGTGGAACTCAGAGGTCAAACAATTTATTGTGGGATCTGGGTGACCTACATCAATGTAGGTAGAAATAATGTGTTCCAAAGATCAAACTGTGGTCATCATAAAACCTGAACTCTACACTAACTTATTTGAGTTGAATCAATCAACCAATGTAAACATTAGCATGTTAAGTTTCAATTGGGTGCAAGGTTATGATGAGCAAACGTGCATGCCACAGGGGTTAAATGATGCGTATGTATGAATTAACTCTTACTTTGCATCACTTCTGGGGTATATTCTCCCTCTCTTTTGACCATTTCAGATTTTGGGTGGAATGGTGGTTCTTCAAAAACTTTTCTCATCCACATTAATGTTGTAATAAGTCATAAGGCTCTATGTTTTTCATATCCCAGGTAGGGAAGGGCTCATATGGGTTGGCATCACGATATTTACGTATATTATAGCTCTAAAATGCCCTTTTTTAAAAAAATATTTGCAAAAATAAAAACAGCAAAATTTTCACCGCTGAACAAAAACGATATCTGAAGTTGAAATTAATAAATGAATGAATGAATGAATGAATGAATGAATGCACATTTTTGGGAAGTCACAGTGCCCCATCGCTGGTAGTATATTTTGAGAACAGACCCATGGGCTACTCATGTTGTCTTTGGGGGCTAACTAGTACTCACTGGCACCATGTTGCGATTTTGTTGTTGTTGTTTTGTTTGTAGGACAGTGCACATTAATCATGAACACATGAATCAAAGGATCGGCAAAAATGCATTTGCCTAAGTGTGCTCTGAATAAGTTAGAACATTGACTCAATTTCTCTCATTTGCCTCGCTCTTAGGTTGGGTGTGTGTAACTGCTCACTCCTCTGCACAGCCCGGGAAAGAGAATGAAAAAGTGGCTGGCCTCTCATCAATATTTTCAGAGGCAGTTCGTTTCGTGCAAGACTGAACCAGTATTCTTAAATGCCATAAACCTGCTCAGGAAATGTGAACCTTACATTTCGTGACAGCATCAGCTATCTCCTAAGAAAAGCTGTTTTGGCACTGGTACTCATTTGCGGGAGCACATCAAAGCAGTTCCCAAAATTTGGTGGTTCCTCTCTGTCCCACTTTGCTCATGTTTCTCTTATTTAATGGACTATTGTTACCCAGCTTCCCTTACCTCCCGCTGGAAATGTTTCACTCTGTTCTTTCATCATTCCTTGAGACACATGACCCAAACCATCTCCTTTTTTACACATTTGAGTAGGTATTTCATTTTTATTAGGTGGCTGATAATGTCTTCTTTCCATGCCATTACCATGAAATGAACCACATCAAAAGGGTGAAGCTCGCCGCGCCTCCGTGAGTGCCCACTGCTTGCAGGCAAGTAAATCTGAACTCACAGTTCGAAAGCTGGAGGCTTTGAAGTCCCTCACACAGCCATGCATGCATCTTTGAATTACTGCTGAAAGTCCCTCACACTTTGACACGTGGTTGTTCCACCTTGTAGTCACGGTGCTCAAAGACCGATTGTGAATAGTGCCACAGGTCAACACTCTGACCCTGTGTCAATCTACATCACATTCAAGGTTTGTGAAAAACTAGAAAACCTGCAAGCAGAGATGCTATCAGTCTTTTTTTCCATCTGTTTGCTACTAATGGTGCATGTGGAACGAAGACAAAGCATATCTACTGGTTCACCGAGTGTGAAGGACAATTATTTCCCTGGTAAACTCTTTTGGAGGGTACGAAGATAAATAGTGGATCTGGAATAGAACAGAACTTGATATTTCATTGAATTTGGCCTAATGATGCTGCACAAAAAAGGGTCAGTTGAGTACGATCTCAATAGGCTGTTTTTACAACCACATGATAAAAAACAATGGATAACTTTTTTTGTGCTAGTTGCACACATTTTCTTTTTGGTGTATTTTTGCGAGTGAGTCAGCCGGAAGGCGCACAAATGGAACAACCAAGCATGATGGTCATTGTTCACCATTCGGTCGAAAATTCTAAATATATCGATAATTTGTACCAAGAGAATATCTTTGTATGAATGTAGGGAAGCTGTTCAAAATTATTCATTTTATTTTATTTTTTTGTTACTTCAGTGCTCACACTCTTTGGTGCCCAGGTACCAAGCGCTCCATTAGAGGAGATCAGGGCATGCAAAAATTTATTGCAAACAATCTTCATTTATTCATAGCAGACTGCGGGAAGGATTGATTTTAAGCATCTTTCATTTTTAACTGGTTTTGAAAAAGTTCATTTTGGCGTTCTCATGTTATATTCCTGGACCATTTTTTCTGAGAACCACCCATTCGAAGTGTACATTATGCTTGAGAAATGACAGTAATAGTTAACAACACTAAATCTTAACAACTGTGCAAGTGAGTGACCAGCTGGCGATTTCTCTGGCCTGTGTCTATTCCTGAATGCCGTGTTTAGTCGATCTGTGTAGTGAAGCGGCATTCAGTTAAACACTGAGGCACATTGTCTCGTGTACACGCAGCACATTTTACTCTTGGAACTCCCTCGATCGTCTGCCTACATTACACAGTGGAGGAGTGGCATTGTCTGTGTTTGCATTGCAAGGAATCATGACACGTAGCTGTCCACAAAGGGGTGAATAAAACTATTTCAAGCTGTCATTTTTAGGCCTGTCACGATAACATTTTCTAAGAAAACATATTTGTGCGGCTATGAATTGACGTGAAACATGCAACTCAAAACTGCCATCAAGCACAGCAGCAAGCACATCAAGGTGACTGACAGGAGAAGAAAGGAATGATGATGACGTATGTAAACAATCACACATATAGATAGCCATTTATCAAGTCAGGAAAAAACAAAAACGATTGTGTCAATTTTATTCATTGAGTTGATATAGAATTTATAGTGGCAGGCTTAGTCATCTTTTTCTCAAAGATGACTGGTTGGAATGTATTCCTAAAGTTGTGTATTTTGATTATTCTAAAAGATCTTAACACAAGATAGGGAGTGACTTTAAACAGTGTTTGTTACCTTATGAACGTTTTAGTGCACTTTTAAAACAAAAGTGCCTCCACTAAAACTTTGGCCCGTACGGGGATCGAACCCGCGACCTTGGCGTTATTAGCACCACGCTCTAACCAACTGAGCTAACCGGCCATGATGACCTGCGTGGTCTGTGTGAACTTTTCTGAGGGAGTGCTTTTGAACTCACTTTCAGCAGGCGGGGGAGGAAATTCTTCCATATCCATCTTTAAGGTTCTTCTGTACAAGCTCAGTCCAGACAGCGTGCAGGGGATCAACTATGCGCACAAACATTCCTGAAGGAAATGAGAAGAAAGTCAAGGAGGCCTGTAATAAGGAGGCAAAACAGATGGTCACTTCCACTGAGTCTAAAAGTGTTCATGCTGGGCCCCATTCTGAAATCTGTGCGTCAACAGCGGAATCCCAACCAGTGCTAATTCACATAAATCAGTGGATGAATGAAAACAAAAGAAGCGCTTGTACTATCATGCGGCACAGTTGACACAATCATTGAGTTGTGGTTTACACATTTTCATGCGAATTGCAGAATAGTGTCCAGTCTTGTCTTTGATTGACAACCATTACAATGAATAGTTCAATAGTATGGGGACCATACGTGTAAGTTTACTCAACTGGAGCCACATCAAATGAGCAAAGTTGTTTCAGGTCTTCCACCAACACTTCTCTATCTCTTCCCACATACCAGCAGTTTGTCAAAGCATATTTTAAATGACAGATTCATTCAATTTTTAGCTTTTAAAAAGCAAATAATAAGCATTTAAGGGCCAAAGGTCAATGTGGTAATTTTAGGGCTCACGGGAAGTGGTTCACGGAAGCCAACAAGAGACTAGAGCAATGTTAATTTAGACCTGCATGGGCATGAGAGCCACTGCATTCCTCACCAACACAGTCTTTGTTGATTCACAGCCAAAGGTAACACTTTCTGTTGAAGGCCTTTAACAACAACAGAAAAAAAATCTCGCTACCCTCAAGAATAGATTACAAGGCTATGACATCATCAGGCTCGTAGCATAGAACCGCCATTGTAGAGGTATCTATGATGCACATTTTATTCATGAATTCGTACAGCACAATACGACATAAGTCCCCGGCTGTCCAGTTATGTGGAAAACAAAGCTACAAGGAGGGGACACAGCCACCAAGATAAGTCATTATGAGTCTGAAAGCTTGTTTTGTCTGCGAGCAATGTGAAATCCTCCGCTTTTCTGTCCTCTGCCCCATGCACAGGGCACAAGGCCAGGAGGGAGAATGTGAACACGGGGCCTGTGTCTGCAGAGAGTTGGGTGACTGGTGGACAGTGCTACTGCTAATGCTAACACTTTCAGGTAGAGTCCACACCACCAGAGGAAAAGCAAAAGCAGTTTTTACAATGGATTGGGAGGGGGAGAGAGTGAGCTATGACATTACGAAACAAAACTGAGGATGACAAATCACTATACACATTATTAGGAACCCCAACACCATATGAAAATGCATCCATCTATTTATTTGGTATCACGCATGTCCTCAGGTCACGGGTAAGCTGGAGCCTTCACCAGAAGACTCTGGGTGAGAGGTGGGGGTACACCCTGGACTGGTTGTAGGTCATAGAGCATAAATAGACAATGATTTTGTATGGACAATTTCAATTGTTCACTGAACCGAACATGCATATTTTTAAAATTTGGGTGTGAACCGCAGTACCTCCAGAAAACCTTTTTTCATTTATATTATTCAATACTTTATGGCTTGTTGATATTTAATTGAAGCTTGTGAGAGTATCGATACATTGATACCATGGAAACAATACTCCTATCACTCAGGCTCACTCTGGTGAGAAGATGAACAGCCAAGCCCTCACAAAATCTCAAGAGGGTGACTCATCTATCTATTAATTTCCTGGAAAAAGGTATGAGGGAAGGAAGGGTGGGCAAAGGAAGCAATGACAATGTGCGTTATTCATCAAATTCAGAGTTGAAGTTACAAAGACAAGAAGAGCAAATTCAGCTTTTGAGTGCCATGTCAGTACTAGACAAACATACAGAGATTAGATGTGGTAGATATATTAGATAAAATAGATACCGTAGATAAGGGGTGTGAAACTGAACCCAAATATATGTATGATAGTCTCATAGTACAGGAAAAGCTTTGTTCAAATATTCTTACATTTATTTTAAAAGGGGGATTAGGAACAAAAAACGCTTGCAGCATCAACATTTTTAAAACTGAAGATAATTTACAGGTTTGGTATTTTAGCAAGAAATATGAAGCCGGTGCACATGGTTTGCTCTTGCTGACCACATAAAATGATGTGGCGGGCCAGATCAAGCCCCCGGGCCTCGAGTTTGACACATGTGCTGTAGATGGACAGAAAAAAAGTGTGGGATGAGAGAGATGGATAAAATAGATAAGATAAAATTCATCATATATTTTATACCTGCATATCCGGTAAGGGAAAACAGCTAAAATAAATTTGTCTACTGTATTTTGTGATTTGTGTTGCTTTACTTCTTTGTCAAAGAAAAAAAAGTCACCTTTCCATAAGACAACCATCTGAACATAAACCCTCGCTGTGTATAACCACCATTGTAGGAACAAAAAAAAAAAGTCAAAAGTAAAAAAACTGAAAGGAGCAAAAGACAACATCAATCCACCCCATGGTTGATGACAGAGTCAGCTGAGCATGTGATTACATGTTAGGATCGCTGAGCTACTTCAGTCAAGAAAATATCTGGCTTCTTGGTCTAATACAGACCAATTGTTCTCCTGTGTTTAAAACCCCTAAAAATAATAACATTTTCTCAACCATACAATCACCAAGCCCTACTTATATTGTTCTTTGGAAAGTAACCAACACTGTGTCGGTGTCAGTTTTTGTTCTACAAGATACAACTTTTTGTGATGTAACCTACAGGGTTCACAATTGAACCCCTAGGTTCAAGTAAGTTTATGTCTGGTTTATTTTTAGGATTCTAGTTTTCTTGTTGCAAGGATATTTTGAAAATGTTGTATTTGAACATATGAAGTAACAGCCAAGCCACCATGGTGACTTGCTAAACAAATCAACAGTGGAGACTTCGACAAGCGTGTGTGGTATGAACATCAATGGCAAAAGACAAATCACTGCTGACTGTAACATTTATACCATTGTTGAGAAGATGAAATTACATTTTTATGACGACAAATACTGAGAAATTGGGAAAATATGATTTTATTATTTTTATTTTTTTGACTGCCTGTAAAGACATATATTCCAGATGACTGGAGATAGGCAGCCTTGCTCTCTCAGGAATGCTATGCATGACTACTTGAATTTGTTGTTGGCTTGAGTAGGCCGGCTCCCAAAGACTTCACATGGAACAGACCACACTTCCTCACTAAATTTAGGAATAACTCATGTCAACTTGATTTATTTTTGCTTCAATAAAACCCGGTTCACATTATTTACGTTTACAATGACTACTAGCGAAACTGGCTATGTTTTATATGGTGACCGTAAGATGCTATAAATCCAGTTTGAATTTGAAGTTGTATACTGTACTGCATCAAGTACACGAGTGTGCTCAAATGCAACATTTGAGAGGCAAAACTTGACGAAAATGATGTGTTTTTAAGACAGGAAAACGAAGTAAAATGACAGAGAATAAGACTTCATTACCTTTTTTCTCCTGTCACCGTTTTATTTGAGACACTATGGTTAATGAATTACTTTTCACAGTCATTGTTTTATTTGGGACACTGTGGTTAATGAAACACTTGGCGCTGAAAAAAAACACAAGTGTCGACAACTCGGACACGTTGACACTGAGTAATGTTATTGGACAGCTTTGGCAACTTGACAACCTGAGGCGCCACGTTAAAGGCGTGATCCAACACGCCGACTTGGAACACCAAAACTGTGCACTGCAAACGAAGCGGGCAGTTTGAGCAGGTTTTCAAGCACTTACATTTAAAGTTTGCAAAACAGCTCATGCGTTTTGGGCGGGCTGTATGGAACTTTACCATAAACAAAAAAATCACGTTCTCAACTCACCATTTCACGACTTCAAACAAGTGCTACAGTTGATCCCTTTGGTGTAATCCTGTCCCCGTTAAAAAGCAATGTTGGGCATTACCGAAAAGACATCAATACACTTTCTCCTGGTATCCTCCTGAACAAGAATCACTTCGATGCAAACAGGCTCCATCCTGGGAAAACCCTCGTATCCAGGGCTAGTATCTGATTGGTCAATGGCCGAGCTCAGAACGCGCCCATTGGCGGAATGAACGCGTCAATCAATTTGCCAACGTCTTCCTCTCCAGGAGGAATGGAATGTGCTCACGTGACTTGTGAGGTGGCTCCCCACTGCACAGCTGTCCAGAGGTTTGGGATCGATGGATGATCTTCTGAAGTAGCACGCTTGCTTTCTAATCGCTCTGTTTCCCGTTTTTATATTAATGATTAATACCCAATGATCATTTCATTAACTTCACGCCCACACACTGATGAGATTCAATGAAAGAGTTGAATCAAAAATGTGCTGATTTACACTCTGGCGCTATTTAACAATATGTTATTGTTGTTGTAGGTTACACATGTGCGTTGCGTCATAATGAAATGTGTATGTGTATTTTGCCACTTTCATGTTGGAACTAAACCATTAGGTAGAAGTCTTAATATGATGGAGTGTTCACCTGCGATTCCGAATTTCTCAAACACTGTGTCCTGGGAGATTATCAGATGTACTCTGGGATATTATGCATTTACATTTAATTCGTTCTAAACGTATTCGTTTTTACGACCAAAAAAAGTATGTTTATTCATTTAACTATGCCAGTGAGTCAGTGACCTCTAGTGACAGGCGGGACGACTAAATTGACGTCAGATCAGCGCCACATTTTTTTTCTCAGCGCCACATTTTTTTTCTCCTAAGGCGGACATTCATTGACCAATTTGTGAGGACGTCAATAAAAAAATTGATTTTTATAACTTCCTATTTATGAAATTGTTCTTGTTTTTTTTTCTCCTCGGTAAAAGTATGATGCAGAGAACGAGCATGTTTGGCCAATTAAAAATATTCAACAATAAAAACACATTAGACACTATTTTGAACTGTACACTACAATGCTGGAGGGACTTTTTCGGAACTACAGTACACAGATTTCTGACGGGGCTATAGCACCATCTAGACCCAGTGGAGTGCAGTCCATGTAAAACCTGTTGCCATTCAATATCGGAAAAAAAACTTTACGTTAAACTGAACAGGCCCAAGTTTCACACTAAGTTAATTTTGCGACTTAATTTTTGACAAGATCGTTTGTAGCATGTAGTGCATACTGTATAATTAGTGACAATTTTGTTTGGTGGTCTGCCATAAGTTTTGTACAGTCATTGTTCTTTTGCTCAGTACCTGTAGGAAGCGGTTGTCACGCCCTGTTTAATATCAGTCTTCTATGGACACAGATAAAGATTTAACAGCTAAATTGGAAAGTGTTTTATCCATCTATCCATCCATCTATTATCTATCACTTATCTGGGGTCACGTTATGGAAGCAGTAGCTTCAGCTCGGAAGCCCAGACTTCCCTCTCCCCTCATCTGGCTCCTCTCGATGTGGAGGAGCACAGGCTTGATTCTGAGTCCCTTCCGGATGACCGAGTTTCTTACCCTATCTCTAAGGGGGAGTCCGGACATCCTGCAGAGGAAACTTTATTTTTAATTTAAAAAAAAATCTCTATTCTTAAACAACACAGTTAAAAATGCACTTCGAATGAAGTAACAGGTAAAACAGAGTGTCGTTTTATATTAAGCAGGGCTGTCGGTAAAAATATTGTAATAACGTGAACACAGTAGAGTCAGAGTGTTGGCTAATAAACCAGTCTTTCCCAAACAGATGGGATGTGTGTGTGTGTGCGTGTGCGTGTGCGTGTGTGTGTGTGAGAGAGAGAGAGAGAGAGAAAGAGAGAGAGAGACTCATGCCTTTTTTTTGCAGTACCAGATTAAAGTACAATTGTACATTCACTACTGTAGGTGGTAGAAGTGACCTCTTTTTTCATGCAAATTGATACTGTAATCTTTACTGTTATTCATGCACGCACGCAAATAATAATAGTTATTCTATTCAACTGAATGCGCAGCGAATGTGAAGCCATGACTTGAAGATGAAAGAATTTTGACAAAAGACACTTCTTCCAAGGCTTTTGTGGAGGTATTTCCAGAGCGACGTGGAGGAGGAAGCATTTGTGCAAGGTACGTCGTTAAAAACAAGTCAATACAACAAGCCAGTTGAATCATTTTATCAAGTAGCACCCAAATGATGAAGTGGAAAGCATGTAAATGCGAGCAGAGTTCGCACAAACTAAAAATAAATCGTTTTTTTTTTTATTTCACAGTTTAAGTCAACTTAAATTGTAAGGAAGCCATTTATAAAATGAGGGAAAGCAACGTCCTTGCTACTCCTCAGCTTGCATGGGGTTTGACAGAAACATCAGCTTGATCCCCTGTAATGTTTACAGGTTCCATTTTATGGTCAAAGTTCCAGGCAAGAGAGTTGAACAGTTGCATGGTCTTCTTGTAGGTCCAAAATGGATTAATGATAACGGTGAGCAGAGTCAGGCCAATATAGAAGATGAGGCGTAAGGTCAGGGGATAGTTGTTGTTGACTGCTGCCCAGTGGCTTAAGCATACCCACCAAATGTAGTAGGTGACGACCATGCGAATATGGAACGTGTGGATCATCACCCATTGGTTGGCTTTCCAAAGTTGACTCTTGCCCCATCCGACCTAGCACGGAGAGAGAAAGTTATTAAAACTTGACAGTACATAGTGTATATATAAGTGCTTCCGTTGTGACACGAAGTAATATCATTTGTTGCATTAAGCAGGTGTATGTTAAAAAAAAAAAAAAAGGATAACGTGGCAAAGGGTATTTGAGGTGTGTGATGAAAATTAGTTTGACACTTCTGGTTTAGAGCTATTGAAAAGCAAAACCAACTTGAGCACCTCAAGATAGAGCCGAAGATGAGAAACAATTAAAAAGAATGCTCAATATAAAATTTTGGGTGAAATTGTATTTATAAAAGTATTTTCTCTTGTGTTTTATGAATTGATACCATGCAATGCTGTGCTGGTGAGTTTCACTTTTCTACAATATTCAAATTCAGAGGAATGTTGGTAAAAACAGCCGATTTTTCTGATTAAAAAATGACCAATAGAGCAATTCACAAAGTTTGTTTCCCTTTTTTTTTTCAAATGTGAATAATAGGATGTGCATTAAGTCCATACTCACTAATATGGTTGAAGCACCGGTTGCTTTTAATGACAATCTCAAAAGACTACCGGCAATCTTGGTTTCATCACAATGTCACATCACACAAGCTCTAGGGAGCTTGTTTGTTTTCATATTACATGAAACCTGTCGACATTTCTATTTGAAATTGAAGTAAAAAGAAAACATTTCAAAGGTATCACCGTTTCCATTTTCTTTTGCATGAAAATTGTTTTTGGTTGCAAATTATTATGGTGCTTTCGTTCCCCGGGTTTTTGATTTTTGAAGCAAGATTGTGGTCATGACAACCGTAATAATTTTGGTCATTCAGTATTGTGATGGGACACTTGAAGATCTTTTTATCTGTAATAAATACATCAACTTGAAGCGTATAAGATCAGTTTACCTTCTGAAGCATCCAGGATATGCAGATGAACGGCGTGCTCATCTCCAGCAGGAGAGCCACGACTGGCACATAGTGGCCACCGGAATCCGATATGAATGCCAGGCAAAAAAATACTGACAACGCGTATAAATGATGAATTGCCAGGGCAAGGTCAAATGACCGAAACACCAAATTGTAGGTGTGAAATGCTACATTCTCAAAGAGAAAGTAGCCTGCGGTGGTGAAGATCATGGACCACGACCAGTTCTCCTGTCCCCTCATGATGTCTCTGCTGAACTCAGAATCCCAAGTGAGTGCTGTTAAACCAGCTACTAAACTCTGGATGCCGAACACTGAACGGGTAGCTAAATGGTTCCAGTAGAACTTCTGTTTAGCTTGCAAGGTGTTGTACACGTGCGAGAGTGTTGAAGACAGCAGGTGAAAGAAGAGCAAGACAGAAGCATAGAAGCCAAAACATAGGCCAATAAGTTGGAATCGAAATTCTAGCATGGCCTGGGAGGTAGAATTCGACGGAGGCAGCTTCTGCCCAGGATCCATTGTCAGGACGAAAGAGATCACCAACTTTGATAGAAATGAGGTTCCGGTCACCTGCAAGGTTTAAGGAGGTGTGCTGAGTGAGGCATCCAAGCGTATCAAGAAAAGGGTGGGGGGCATTTCCGCAGAGCATATCAAGGCGTGCTCATATTGGGGAATTGAAAGGCATCTAATTAGGTTTTACACTTGGATATGTACACTTAATTACAGCTTATTTTACATTTTGTAATATTGATATTTTTTTAAGTACAGTCACATTAGCTTTGAAATTTAAGAGATTGGTAAAAACAAAGGTAGTCAATTTATTTTGTCAGCGGATGTAAATAGTTGATGGAAGGAGTGGCAGACAGAATCTCATCAAGGGCTCCAAATCCAGTGGGACCGGTTCTGCTGTCAACAGAAATTTTATTCTCACTCCAGTTCAAATTAAAACATTGCAAAAAAAAAAAAAAAAAGACACTTATGCATAAACGCAGCCCAAAGTGCTTATATGTTACCCCGCCCCACTACCCTCAAGGACACAAACACACATCTGCAAACATACCATGGTTCCAACAGGTTTCTTCGAGTTAAACTTAAGACTTTGAAGAATATTTTTTAAAAATCATATATGTAAAAATTCTGTATCTATCTATATTATTATTTCTATCTATTACTTCTCCCCATCCCCAAGGTACAGAGGTCAAGGTTTCGATTCCAGGCCTCAGCTTTCCTGTGTGGAGCTTGCATGTCATCATGGTTTCCCAAAACATGCATGGCAGGTTAAGAGAACACTCCAAATTGTCCCAAAGGTGTGATTGTGAGCGTGAATGGTTGTTTGTCTATGTGTGCCCTGCAATTGGCTGGCAACCAGTTCAGGGTGCACCTGGGAGAGGCTCCAGCAAGCCCGCGACCCTTGTGAGGATAAATGGCTTGGATAATTGAGCTACTGATGATTAATTCGGTGTACATTTTAAATTATGTGCCATGTAATCTTATAATAAAGCGAATAGTGTATGTAAATAGCCAAGGGACGGGCGGCACGTATGGCAGAATCTCACCTTGAGCACAACATCCGATTGGGCCGGCTCTACTGCCAACAGAAATATTACTGTATTTGCTAACTTTTGTTCCAATGAACACATTTCAGAACGTTACATAAATGAAACAGGCAAACCTTCCCCCACCTGATAATATAATTTCCGAACTTTTATTTCTGTCATGTGAAAAACATAGGAGGTTCTCCACCATTTGGTGTAAATACTTTTTTTTGGGGGGGGGGGGGTCAATACTTATATACTCTGTCATTTACAGAAAGGCCAAGTGGACATGATCCTTGTATGGTGTATGCAACGTTCCAAAGATCAGTCATGATAATACAGTGGAATAAATAATACACATGGTAGGCCATAAATTTACATTGGGTTTGTGTATCTAAGATACTTACGAGACCTGGGCTATCTGAAACATTAAAAATACATACATTATACAAAAGTAGGTATTATCATTGGGGGGGGGAAAAAGGTTAAGTAACACATTCCCCTAAGTCTAGTTTGTACACTCAGGCATACTTTGATAGAAGGGTCTTTGTTATCAACTCCTTGGCAGACTTCTCATGAATTTACAAGTCATCAACAGTGTCTGGTTTTCTTCCATGTACTGTATTGTACTGAAGCTTGGACAACACAAAAGAAGAAATCCATTAGGATAGGGATGGGCATTGACCTTGAACTGACCTGGCTTGCACAAAAATAAAAAAAAAATAAAAATAACTTTTGAGGTAATTTTGAGTTAAGTTCGGTGCAGCCTTGTCGCATTACATAGCTTGACAATGAGCACATAAAAAAAGGTCTTCCACCCATCCAATAATTTCACGCAATTATGAACATTCCACGCTACACTCAATCATACTGTCAAACACACTAACGTTGATACTAAAAGCATCAGCCGAGTAGCGCCTCAGTGTGAATGTGACTCAAGTCATAAACATATACTAGTTATACGGTATATTTGACATTAATACTGTGAAAATACTGCTGCTGTTTTGTTTTTTTTGTATGGAGGCCTCATAACACCCGCCCATTTGGTAAAAATCTTTTTTGGTACATTACCTATTCAATAACTGCGTTTTATAAGAGTAAATCTAACCTGTTATTTTTAAAAGATAATTCAGGTTATACTTTGTCAGTTCAAAGCAATGTTTCCAGTGAAGAGCTCTGCACATACAAAAAAATGAAACAGTCACTCTGTCATCCAGTATTTTCTTATCAACCGGTTCCTAACAACTGAGGTTTGGCTCAGTGGTCCCCAACCATCGGTCTACGGCTGGTGCCATTTAGTATTTATTTTATGGCGAGCAGACATGAGCTGTGAGCTATTTACTCAATCAGATATGGAAATGTGCGCGAGAGCAGCCAGTCAGAATCCAGACGTTTCTTTTCTACTTTGGTTTACAAGTTGAAGTAAACGGAAAGTAATAGTACGAAGTGAGGAATGACCGAACGTGCAGTTTAACACGTCGCTGATGGGCAGCCATGACTTGGCATCGTTATCCAAAGAAGAGGCGGTATCTTCAAAGCTGCATGGGGTAAGTGAAGACATTATGCAAGGTATGTTCTCAAAACACGAGAATCTTCTTGAATAATTTGAACCAGTCTGCCTGCCTGCGCCCCAATCAAATTCTCCAAACTCATGTCAACTGCGTTAATATTTAGATGCGGTCAGAGCAGGGGTAACTTTAGGTCGACTTTCTGCCACCAAATTGTCACTCCGCCAGGCGCATCTGCAGCCTTGTGCTCGTACGAAAATCAGGACCTGAGGCATTTGTGCCCTGCCGTCAAAGAACATCGAGCCCATTTGTGTTAATTTACAAAATACAAATGTGTAGAACAAGTTAATGAGAACTACTTCGAAAAATAAATGTCAAGCGAATAGTCTGACTAATGTAGGTAGCTTCAAGTGGATTTAAGAAAAAGAAAAAAAAAAAAAAACAGTTTAAAATACCAAGTGGCCAAGTAACCAACTTCCCTGTCACTTCTCAGCTTGCATGAGGCTTGACAGGAGAATCAGCTGAATCCTCTGTGGGGTTGTTTCCAGGTGCTGACTTATTGCCAAAGTTCCAGTCGACAGGGTTGAACAACTGCATGGTCTTCTTGTAGGTCCAAAATGGATTCATGATAACGGTGAGCAGCATCAGGCCGATGTAGAAGATGAGGCGTAAGGCCAGCGGGAAGTGGTTGTTGATCGCTCCCCAGTGGTTAAAGCTTACCCACCAAAGGTAGTAGGTGAGGACAATGCGACAATGGAACATGTGGATCATCACCCATTGGTTGGCTTTCCAAAACAGACTTCTGGCCCATCCGGCCTAGCATGAAGAGAGAGAGAGAGTCGTTTTAAAAACTTTACAGTACGTCCTAGGGATGTCACAATAGTCACAAAACTGTGATATTAAAAGTGCTTCAATATCAACGTGGTGTTATCACGGTATAAAATAATGAGCCGTTATTGCTTATAATTCAGTTTTTTGGCTGGCTGTACGTAGGGTTGCGCTGAACATGGCTGCAACAGTGCTCTGCTCCAGCAATAATCGCGTTTTGGACTTATATCAATGTAAACATCAGATGGATGGGGATAGAAGTGCACAGTAACATGATTTGAAGATGTCTTTATTTCAAAAACCTCCTGGAAATCGGTGTTAAGAATGGCTTCTTCATGTTACAGAAAGTAGCGTTGAGAATGACTGATGTGCTGTAATGAACTGAATGTAGTTTGAAAGATGGAACAGAGAAAGTCTAGCTCAGATCAGGTACTACAACTTCCTTGTTTAAAGGCTATAAAACATGCTTTTACGATTGTTTTAAAGAAATGAAACCTCAACATTTGACCGATACTATATCGAGTACAAAAAAAGTACTGTATTACTATTTCAAGGCCATTGTTTTAAATGAAAATGGCATTTAGTTGCTGTAGTTTGTTTCCAATGTGCAAGATTACTTTGAGTTTCTGATTTTATTGACCTGCACATATAGTGCGCTCGCATTACCTTGAGCAAAATTGAGGAAATGTAATGTTGATAATTTTTGTCATTGTAATTGTGATAAAACATTTTAAAGCGGTTTAATCTCTAAATGTGTCCTAAAAAGAGCATCTCTAAAAAACTACAAGCAATGCAATATTGTTTCACCTTTAGAAGCATCCAGGATACGCAGGTGAAAGGTGTGCTCATTTCCAGCAGTAGCACCACCATTGGCACAAAGTGGCCCATGGAATCTGACATCACCCCGCCTCCGTATCCTGCCAGAGCGAAGAAATGGTGCGTTGCCAGGGCGAGGTCAAGTGACCGAAACACCAAACTGTAGACATGAAATGCTGCATTCTCAAAGATAAAGAACCCTGTGGCTGTGAGTATAGTAAACCATGACCAATCTTCCTGCCCGCTCACTATGTCTCTGCTCAACTTTGAGTCCTGAGTAAGTGCTCTGAGACCAGCTACTGAACTCTGGATGCCAAACACTGCGCGAGTTGCTGCAAGGTTCCAGAAAACCTTCTCTTTGGCTTGCAGGCAGTTGTACGTGTGGCATCGTGATGAAGATAGGAGGTGAGCGAGGAGGAAGACTAATGCATAGAAGGCAAAACCCAGGCCGATAAGTTGGAATCGAAGATCCCATGGAAAGTGTTCTGCAATGGACTGGTAGGTTGCATCAGATGGAGGTAGCTGCTGTCCAACATCCATAGTTGGGAGAAAAACTATTAGCTCAGCAGCTTCAAAGAGACACGCTGTGCCAGACACCTGCAAGGTAAGAGAAAGCAGATATGTATTTTATTTTCCACAATGGGTTTTAATTGTATTGTATTTATCTTGAGTAAGGTAACACAGTTTTATTGAATGTGTTTCCAGTGGATTATACAGCACTATGAGTAGATTAGATATACAAAACACGACCTTGGAGTGTTCATGTAATTGTCCACCTGGGATTAGTAAATGTATTAGTAGTAATATATTTATCCACAGTATCTGAGAGAGAATCAAACGTCTTCATGTGATGTTCAACCCCATTTAGAAACGTCTTAGCAGCGAAGAGACGTTTGTATAATGCTCCCTGTTTCTATTCGTACCTTGCCTAAATTATTTGTAGGTCCAAATTATGATAATTGTAACGAAGAGTCAACGAGAAAATAAACTAGTCCGTCAAAAACTCCGAGCCAGTCTAAATGAAGCATCAAGGTAGTCGCGTTCAAAACACGTATGCAGGAAAAACATCTTTACAAACTCGCAAAATAACACGTGTCACCGAATGAAACTCAAGAATCAAGTTCGAATATTCGGAAACTTACATAAATTGGGATACTCTCATCGGTGTTTGCATATGGTCACACGATTTCAATTTGGTCATGTGACCAACACAGCGGAAGTCACGCCTACTTGGAATTTATTTGGCGGTTGGCAAATGAACTTTTGATGCATTACCGCTATCTAGCGGACCGGAGTGCTTAGGTCGAAAAGGCAAACAACAACATCAATAACAATAATGTATGAATTAATCTGATTTTGGGCATAATTTCGGTACGCCCTCTCCATTTGCTTCCTGTCTCCAAGTTGATGTTTGACGTATATGAATATGAATAGATACATCCGTGTTTAAAATCCATACCAGAGTCTAAACAACGAGTTTGTTTCAAGTTGAACCCATATATTTTTAAATATTTGGAAAAAAATGTTCTTTTTTTCCTGCATCAAGGCATTGTAGTGCATTGTTCAATTTTCAGACCGCTACATTGTCAACCAAATACTGTATTGTGAAGTATTTCTATCTGGTGGTATGTTTGTGTCACTGCAGTGTCTTTGCGTCATCAAAAAAGAACATTTTCATTACGTTTCTGATTTAAACGGAAGTACTTAGGAACATTTTGGAATTTGAAGGTTACAAATTGCACCAAACACATTGTGTCAGTCAACTGACACTCTTCACTCATAATGCTGGTGAGTAGACCGACTAAATTTGATTAATTTCTGTAAATTGAATTTAATATGGTAGATGATTAGAACGTCGATTGCCTCATCCATCATGATTGTTTTCATTCCTCATCAAAATGCTGTTTTGTCTACAAATACCTCTGTTGTTGTCTCCTGTTGGCACTTTCTTAATCCACTTTTTTTTTTTTTGTTCTAGACGTACAAGATCACTAGAAATTATTCTCAATTAAAACTCATTTTGTGTTAATCTAAAAGTAAGTAAAACGCTTTAAATAACATGTGTACAGGTATTTTGCCTATTAACAGAATTATTGCTTTTTTTTTTTGTTCTAGACGTACAAGATCACTAGAAATTATTCTCAATTAAAACTCATTTTGTGTTAATCTAAAAGTAAGTAAAACGCTTTAAATAACATGTGTACAGGTATTTTGCCTATTAACAGAATTATTGCTTGACTCAGACTGGTGACTTGCAAGGTTCTGTTTGTTTACATAATGCTATATGGAATTTGCTGTGCTTGATTACTTTTGCTGTCAGCGCTTTCCCTGAGAAGCCCGTGGCATCTTTCTGGCCGCTTGTGGCAACGTGACGCTAGTTAGACATGTCAGTGACAACCACACTTGATATTTAGACATTCAGTCCATCTATCCTTCTATTTATATCTACCTATATCTTGTTTAGGGTAACGAAGAACTGCAGTATATCCCACCTGACGTACGATGAGAGGCCTAAGTCCATTGTGGGCCAGATGCAGACATGTAGAAAAGGTAGGAAAATTGTAACAAACAAGTACGACATGTAAAATGGACTAAGTAGCAAAACAAACCACTCTGCTTTCATTTTTGGAACTGTATGTTTAACATGGTTGTAAAAGCTCTCTGCAAACGCATTTTCCCTGGCAAGTATATAAAATGAACCCTCGTGAAAAATCAAGCCATTAATCAAGCCTTTAACTCAGCTCTCAAATGATGTGGGCCTGTCCACTGAATGTGTGCAACCACACCCCACTGATTAATTGATACGTCTTCATCAAGCATATTTCTTATGCCGACAAATACCTACATGTCTGAGCCGTGAATATATCTGCTTAAAGCCTCTGGTTCTTATATAGTGGGGCAGGGGTGACTCATGCCAGACACCTATACATGCCTGGGTCACATTTAGCAACAGCTAAAAAAAATTAAAATAAGGAAATCGAAATAGTGAAAAACAGTTTAGCATTACATCTCTGCAATTCAATAGATTTAGTCAATAGTTTCTCTTTTTCAGCAATTACCTTCAAGCCTATATGACAGGCAGCAGCGCTGCACCAAAATTTGGGCCCCCATAATGAATAACAAACATGTCGAATGTGGGTAGGGCTTCACAACAGTTTGGGGGCCCCCTTCACGTGTCACCCCAGAATTGACACCCATGATTATTATCAACAAACAAGGTGTTCAGAAACAAATCTCCGAATTCACTTTACAGGGACTTGAAATATAGTATTGAATGTCAAAGTGCGGACAAGTAATATTTGATTATACTGTATTTTATTTAACTGTGATTGGTTTTAACCCAGTGAAGAAAGTGCTTGCACCCAGCATTGAATATATTATACAGTAGCTGAAGAGGGGAAAGAACAAGTGATTTAAAGAGGTTGAGAGCATATGTAATGGAGGGTGGGAGGGTTGGAGAAAGGGAAGGGGGGAGAGGGAGGACAAGCGGGTGGGTGCTGTGAAATCTGTTAACAGGGGAGCTCTGTGTGTTTGCTAGCTGCCTTGGCTGCTTGCCCAACTTGGCTCATTGTGATCAAGGCATGATCGTGCACTCCAGGCAGCCCTCGCCGCCGCCTTGGCTGCCGTGCGTCTGGACCCAGCCTCGCTATCAGCGCTGACATGGAAAGACCTGTGAGTGCCTTCTCTCCCCGCCCGCTGTCTTCCTCTGCCTCTGCCTGGTGTTGGCGTATGCTCTGTCGCAGATTCAGCTGCGGCTGCATGTAAGCGTTTCACTCGTGTTTGGCTACCTCTGTCTTCATGGAGCTCCTATAGGTGGGAGGACCGCTGGTTATGGGGGCCACCTTGGCAGCTTTCTCTTTGCATGCTCACCCTTATACCTTGGCCTGCCTTTCCGGGCACAGATGCCATCCGCCCGCTTCCCCACCATGCCTTTGTCGGGGTTTGGTATTGTGTTTACACATTTACGTCACCCTTTCAAAGAAGGAGCCGAATAAACCCAGAAAGGTAGCATCCCCCCAGAGAGGAGCAGCTGAGAGCGTGCGGCTGGTGTCAGCAACAACCGCTTAACACTGACTTTGTGAGATTCAGGCTCGGCTGTGTGTCTCTCCCTTGCGACTATTCTTGGTGGTATGTCCTCATGATATGTTGTGTTTGGATTCCCTGACAACTCAAAGCGGTGCGCTAAAATGGCTCTGCGACATGCTGCCTCTCAAAGTGAGTCCTAACTTCTCTCATGTTTTATAGGACTTAAGAGAGTTTGGTAGCTAGAAGAGTGAGGTCCCAGACAGTCTTTTCTATTACTCAGAATAGAGGCTGCAAGGGAAAAACATTATGAATCTTTGCAATGTGATGGTGTGTGCGCTTATGTGTAACATTACCCACATGGAGCTACCTCATCGCCGCTCCACTACTGGTGGACTACCTTATAATCAGGTTTGGGAGGGTTACTTTAAAAATATATCCCAATACGAGTTACTTAAGTTCTCAACTTATTTTATAGTGGGGAAGGAGTGACTCATGTAGGAGCAGAAGGAGATGAAGCCCTTTCAAGAGAAAGTGTCAACAAAATAAATAAACCATGACGTCGACTATTAAATTAATTGTCACTGTGTAGTAGTAGTCCTACTCTTCTCACATTTTCAGCAGTTACCGTCAAAACACGTATTACAAGCTGTCATGTTCCGTATTAGACAGCAGGTGGCAGGCGTTCACTCTGCCGCCTGCACACCTGCTGCCCATTTGTCTGTGATTACACCTGCTTTATCTAGGCGCTCCGGCTGTCGACTCATTGCCGGAGTATTGCTTGCCGTGCCACTGCTATTGCCCATGCTCGTTAACCTTACTCGTATTCGATTATTGTTCGCTTACACTTTCTTCATCCCATCGGGATTATTTAAAGACGCATATTTGAGCTAGTACATTATCTTATCCTTTTCCTTGCCGTTCTTTGCAAGCGCTTTGTGTTTTCTCGTTACATTATTTTCCTGGTTCTTGTTTTTGACCAGCGTTTTCTGTTGTCCTTTAAGACGGTATTTTTTCGTTTGTAATAAATATTATTTTTTGAGACGAAGGCCTTGTCAGTGTCTGCTGCTTCGGGGATCCACTTATTCTTGTTCGCTCTGTTTGCATACGAAGCAGTCCTTGTTTCCTGCCTTGTATGCAACGTGACACAAGCAGGAGATTGGTTGAATGATTGATTGATCTAAGGCCATTTCAAACAATTGCTGAATTGCATGAAGTTAGCTGTTATTGAACAGTGTTGTATTCGGTTGTATTAATTTGTCCAAATTTTAGTCTTTCATTGACCAAATATTTCTGGGCCAAACTCAACATCAGCTGGAGTTGCTGTTCTGTAATCGCTCGTGGAATCTTTGGCTAAGGAGCAAGGATGCAAACCTTGCTTGCCACATTGAGATGTTTGGGATGTCCTGCATATGCATTCCCAGCTCTGCAACTGAGCTGCATATTGAACGCTCCGTCTGTGGCTTAATGGGCATGTGACTGTGTGCAACCGCAGCAGGCGTAGCAATGCACATGGGCAAGCTGTGATGTAAGACTGAATCGTGTATACCGGTATATATATATTCGTGTACGTCTAACTTGGAGGGAGACTTACACGATCACCTGTGGGAACAGCCTTCACTCTCCACGTTTTTTCTCGTTCTTCCTTCGGACTTTGGTATTTCTCCAGCTTTTCATGTTTTGTTTTTTACGGATGTTGCTATCATTGGGGATTGCGACATCTATCATGACTGCAGTCTTCGAATGTTTATCCACCACCACTATGTCAGGATGGTTGCCTATCACCAGTATGTCAGTCTGGATATGCAAGTCCTGCAGGATCATGCCCTGGTTGTTCTCAACCACCTTTTCAGGCATCTGCCATTTCGATAGTAAGGCCTCTAGTCCATATTTGGTATCGATGTTGCAGTACTTTATTCCTGCTCCCTGGTTATGCCGCTTCGTGTCTGCCAGCATCTTACACCTTGTCGTCTCCGGGGCTTTTTTGAACAGCCCACACTGTGGTCCCGTCTGATGTGGTAGACACCAGCCTCTATTGATCTGATATTTAGGGCCTGTTCTTGTGCTGCCAATTAGCGCCTCTGTGCTGTCTTTGCCTTTTTTCAGCCATAAGCGACTCAGATAATGGATGGAGGGATGGATATGGTTATACTGATTTACATTTCATTATTATTGCTGCTGAAAAATGCGTGCCTTTCCAGACACGCTGTGACCCGGCGCTCAGAAGGGATCATGAGAGGGACTTGGAGCTGGACAAAAAGATTGAGGCTCTCAGAAGAAAGAATGAGGCGCTCATGAAGAGATACAAGGTGAGGACAAGTGATTGCAGGCGTAGAGAGCTGCGTGTCGTTGAATATTTTCACTTGTCGTAATGAGGCGTGAAACTGCAAGGCTCTGAAATCTGTTGAAAGTGTTTGTTTTCTTATATGCTTCCTGATTAGTTATCTATTTGGTCGAGTTGCCTTTAGGAGGTCGAAGCGGACAAGAAAAGAGCAGAAGAAGAAGGAATGGCGCTGCAGAGCCGTAAGGGCAAAGCTGATGATCTAACGATCACAGTAAACAAGTCCACTTGTGTGAGTTCTGACATTATTTCAAGCATTACCATTTTGAAGCTTTAAAATTATTTTATGGGCTTGTTGTCCATGGCGTGAAACAGGTCAGTCGTGTGGTGGTGACCAAGTCCTTTAACAGCGGCTCACCTGCTGGGAAAGGACAAGAGGAAGTAGGAGCAGGCCGATGGGAGGAAATTACTGTGCAGCCTGCCGGCAGTGTCGGCAGAGGGCACAAGAAGCAGCTCATTGTCACCATGGCTGGCAAAAAGGTGAGTTCTGCATTATTTTAGAGTGAGTTGAGAGTAGAGTCGCAGAGTGAGTGTCTTACATTCTGGAAAATACAGTCAATGCATGTCTCACGAGCATGTTTTGAATAATACGCCGATGATCATATAAATAATAAATGGATTGCATTTTTTTTTTTTTGCACTTCACTGTAACTCACGGCACTTCATTAAATACACCTGCAAAATCTAATGAGCGCCTGTACGAAAGCCAATTAAAAATTCTTTATTTCCAGTTTAATAGAACTTATTGCATCATACTGAGAAGTGTTTCTAATATGAATTAAGCTACATGCGTCAAAGTTTGACGCAGCTCTCAGTATGACGCTAGCGGTTCTACATAACTGTAAAATACAACAGCAAATATAAACATGGTTGTACTTTATATGCAAGATCAGATTTTTGGCCTTGGCTAACCATTGTTCTTTTCTATTGCAGTACATTCTGATTGTGTAAAACTGCAGCCATCATACAGTCAAATATTTTGATTCTCTCATGTTTCAAAATGTAATATTGGAAACACCCACCTCTCAGTGTAATGCAGTGTGAGTGACTCAAATATCGTGTTTCACTGACTCTGTTGTTCAGATCTCATGTTTGTGATTCACATTTCTTCAACATCCACATTAATTTTATGGCAAAGTCAATCAAACATGACCAGAATCCTTATTAATATTTATGAAGGTAGAAATGTTGCTACAGCTGCAGCATTGGGATCTCATTGCAAGTGTACCTAATAAAGTGTCATGACAGTAGACCATGCCACACTTACGCCAACATTAACAAACCCTTTCTAGGGTAAGAGAGTGGTGTGTGAGAAGCCTGAAAAGAGGCCAGACCCCCCATGTCCGTCAGATGTCAAGAGCCCAGCTGATGAGCTCCAAGCTGGCAGCGTGGAGGTGGCAGGGATCGGAAAACAACCATGTCACATGACCAAGATGGACATTACAGCACAGGTGTGTTGCAGACTTGAACTCTTTCCTGATGAGCCATTAAAAAGGCAGCTCCGACTCTCATGCCCTGTCTGTGTCCCCTCTCATGCATCACAGAGCTGTTTTACATAGATGCCAGACTGGCCACACCCCTGCAGCAATGGCGCACAAAGGCTGGCTGACAGGCGGTTTATCAAGGCTGTTACTGGCGTGGGATCGGGATAGGGAGGCTATTAATACAGCTGCTGCCCTCTGAAATGTTGATCTATGTGGTCTACATGAATTACAAATGCGAAAAAAATTACATAATACATTTCCATGAAACTTTGTAGGGCAGCGCATATGGAGAACACATTAAATTAACCCAAGGCCTCGAGATCTATCTCATGCAAGGCCTTGTTATTGATGAGTTGACATGTTGAAATGTCACATCAGATACAATTTGTTTTACTCACCAGTACATGTTTAACGTTAATGGGCTGAGACACACATGCGCACGAAGTACCCTCCTTCAGCTGGAGTGTGAAATGCCACACTATCAATGACCTTATGCCACCCGAATGTGAAAAAACATTCAGACAGCTGTTCCATTTCACGTGCGCCCGCAGACGCCGGATCGTCAATAAGCTGACACACAGACAGCTGATCCTCGTTGCCGCAAGCATAGACAGCGACGTCTCGGGAGGCGGCACTAAAATAGGGGAAGAGCAAGTTGCCGTTATCCTCACTAAACCAGTGTGCTGAACACGCTGTTCTCTTTTCTGTCCCTTTATATATCTCCTGCACTGAATCTACACTTGAATAATAGCCTGCGCTGCAGCGCACCAGTCATCTGTGACTCCCAAGTCTCCTGTTTCTTAACCAGTGCCATAAACAGTAATGCACTGTACTTTGTGCACAAAGAAAAATGCTGCAGTTATACATGGGGAATAATAGGACTCCTCTTTCTTGTGTGAATAGACTGCATGAAGATTAATGGCACATTTTTTCGAGTTGTTCGTGCTTGGAAATGAACTGGGACTGAGAAAAGGGGTGTGGCTATCTGGCACTTTGTAATTGCTTGAAGCAGGCAACTGCTATCTGTTCACACACACTGAGAGTGACAATGGAGAGGTGCGAGGGGAGAAAGTATGTCTGCTCCCAGCCTCGTATTTCTCCATTCCGAAGTGGTCTGCTCTCCTCCAGCACGATTGTGTTGCATTTTTCATCGCCCGCTGAAAAGGCCGATTTCATCTAATTAGCATTCAACTGCTTTCTCGCCATGAAAAGGCTCATTATGCAACCAAAATGAGAGGTCTGGAAAGGTGCCAGGAAAGGGTCAGAGAGGAAGAAGGAGTGTGAGACAGGACAGATAACAAAGAAGAAAGGAAAGGTGGAAGGGTGTTTTTGTGTTCCTGTCAGTGGATTTTTGATGAGAGCAAAGTGAAAAATAGGCGTGGACACATGAGACCACCACTCAGAGTTCATGAGAGCACCAGTAAATATTTGCACCACAGCGGTCTGCTTTCAGAAATGCGTACACAATTTCCCTCCTCTTTTCGTGAATTGACTTGTCCCCAAACTGTTCTGATGACATATTGCAGTGGGAATTTGCAATCAGGTCTTCCCTGCGTTGGCGCTATTGATCCACTTGGGTGCAGTGTTGGCTCTTCATTCCCACCGTGACCCTCCTCGATTTGACTGCAGTCGATGGCTGCATCGATGAGACTCTTTTCAGTCATGTTCAATGGGCATATTGATGTGGCACCATGATGACAGATAGATGTATGGATCCATGCACGGTAAAAAAAAAAAAAAAAAATTATGTACGGTAGGTTAATTGAACACTCTAAATTGATCTTTCGTGTGATTGTGAGTATGATAAAAACATTCACATTCACTCTATTTTTTTTTGGTCTGTGTGCTCTGCAATTGGCTTGTAACCAGTGTTGTACCCTACTTACTCCCCGACATCAGGTGGGCTAGGCTCCAGCACACCTGCGGCTCTCGTGAGGATAAAGCGTTTCAGATTATGGATGAATGAATTATTTTGATGTGTCCCGATTCTCAAATTACATGCATTCAGGTCACACCGACGAGCGAAAAGTTATATCTGGGGGAAAAAACGGAACGAGAATAGGTTGTTAGAACCAACCATAAACATCATGAGGTGAAGTTATGTTTTAACAAATGAATCTTAAAACATGTCACTACATACATATATATGGATGTCATATCTCAGCTCGGTGCGTAGGATGACTGGCTGCAGTGTCCGATTGGAGGTCTCGACTTGTCACCACAGAAACTGGCCTCTCACATTGCTCTTCATGAAGGCAGTCCTTTGACGAATAATATTTAGCAGGGTGGCCTGGGATGTTGAGCAGCAAGCAGGCCTGTTGGAACATGCATGGAGTGACTTCCCTAGTGGTGCCCAGTCTCCTTTGGGGTCCAGAGGAGGAGAAGGAGGAGGAGAGGAGAATGGAAAAACAGTGAGATGAGTACATGCCATTTTGATGTTCCAGGAAGGCAACATGTTTACATGGCTGTGAGTGGTACAAACATGAGTGGGGACAACATCACCCTCACTCAGCTCTTTTTCTCCCTTTCATATTCTTTTCATTGTTTCCGTAAGAATTAATGCACTCAGAGGCACGGTGAGTTTCCTCCTTCCGGCGTTTTAAAGTTCTTTAAGCGACAGGAGTAGTCTTTTCTCTGCCTACTTTATGAAAATAAAAAAGCGCTTTTTTTCTCGGAGATAGCTTTTACGTGATTTCCCACATTAGTCCTGGATCACTCCAGGGCTTTTGTAACAAGCGCACACACAGCCTCAGTCCTCTTTGATGTGTTAAAAAGCCTCCATCACATCTCCTTTTAGTATCGCACGCAATCCTTTCTGCTCCCATCACTGTAATCAATAAACAGGTTAAGAGCAGAATGAAGGGAGGGGACATAATTGCATTTACTGTACACTCTGCTTTTCCTGGTCTATTATCGCAGTGTATCCCATTGTGTGGATTCACGGTAATCATGACAAACACACAGCTTTATTGTAATCCGTGCAACCCGAAAGGGACTACGTTGGCATCCATGGGGGGAACCAATCTTGCATTGAGGCAGCACTGATGTTTAGATCCACTTAATCATAATAATAAAATCTCATCGTTACTTCTTTTTGAACACCACCATACATCATCGTTGCTGTCGTGTTGGCGATTAACGAGCGAATTGGAGACGAGATGCACTTCTTGTTTTTGGCGGCCTATCTTTAATGAGATTATTTTCTTCCACTCCACTGCACTGTTTAGTACGTATTAGCGTGAGTAATGCTTCAAATGTATTCTAATACAAACTAAATGGCATCCGTGCTTATGCTGCTCTTTTGCTGATGCTCTATTGCAAGGCAGCAATGCCATGATTTTAATCTACATTCATGTACAACTGAACCCTTTAGGTCAAACACAATATATTTTCTTTCGAATGTGTTCACATTTAAATCTCTTCTGTCATAGAAAATTGAGAAAGAGTCACCACCATAAACACTTAATTACTGGTCAGGCAATATATAATATACTGTATATTCAATGTGTTGGTGACAAATACGCAAATGGAAATGTGTTCTTTGATATGTTAGAGTGAGTTAACTTTCCATTCTACTGTATTTAGTCTACGAACAGTAAAGTGAGCAGGCAGGGCATTGAACCCCACTCATTCTAATAGTTTCCATAGTCGTTCTTGGAGTGCATTAATGTGACACTCATTTTCAATGGGAGACAGGTCTGGACTGATGGCAGACCAGTTCAGTGCTCATATTCTTTTTCTGTGAATTCACGTTATAGTAACACATGCAGAAAATGGCTTGGAGTTGTCTTCCTGAACTAAACAGGGACTTTGCCGAAAACTAGAAAGAAGAAAAAAAATCTCCAGGTTCTCAGAATCTTTTGCTGAAATGTACCAGTGACGATGAAATGAAATTCCTTGCAATTTTGAGAAGTGTTGTTCTTAAACTGTTGGACAATTTGACCCACACAGTTTTTCACAAAGTGGTGAACTTGACCCCCCATTTCGGGGATGCCGTTTTTATCGCCAAACATAACAATTCATCACGTTTCCAATTTACCTTTTCACTTGGGGAATGTTCCAAACTGGTGTTTTTTTGAGTATTGTTTCCCCTGTCCCAGCTCTTTTCAAAATGTGAGGATAGCCCCCCCGACCAAAAAAATTTAAATAAAGTAGCATTCATGCAAGTTGAACATCAAAATCTTGTCTTTGTAGTGTATTCAATTAAATATAGGCTAAAATTGATTTTCCAATAATTTTGTTCTGTTTGTATTTACATTTTACACAAATGGCCCAATATCAGTGGAATTGGGGTTTGTAGAATCTAATGCGATATCCCAAAGTTTTGACTGATGTCATTGATGAAGGCAGATCCAACGCGACTTTAGAGGCAAATGTTCCCACAATATTGCAATCAAAACCACCAGGGAAATTTTTTTAAGTCTCACAAATGCACTGTGCTGTTTTTTTTCTTCTCTCAAGGAGATGGAAATCACAGATCTCAACGTCCCCACATCGAAGGAGGAGCAAGAGGAGTACCTGCAGTGGAAAAAGGAGCGCGAGAAGATTGACAAGGAGAGAGTGGCGCGTCACAAGAACGCCAAGGGACAGTGGAGGCGGGCGTGGGACATAGACAAATCAGAGAACATGTAAGACTTCTTACCTCTGCTGCGCACGTCATTGAACGCTTACTGCTGTTGTTGTACGTGACAGTGGTTTGGGTTCCCAAAGAATTTCGCCTCAGCGTCAGTATTTTCAGTCAGTTATGTTTCTTCTTTTTTCAGCAGTAAAATATATGTTATTGTGTATTTCTCTCCCGTGTGATGTACGTTTAGGTGTCCCACATGTGTTTGAATGCTATGCTTGAATAATTTGACTTCTGCCGTGAAAAGGTAAATTTAGTTTAAAATTCCAAAAAGCTCACTGAAACGGAGCTCACTGAAACCGAGAGTCTAAAAACGCTTTTATGATGTTGATCATTTATGGCAGGAGGGCTGGGAAATTTGTTAAGCACCCTGTTTGCTACAGAAATGTGTTTTAGTTGATAGTTGTTGTGATTTTAAAAATCAGCCAATGTTTTTAAACTCAAGCAATCTTGCTGGAAATTATTCATGTTACAGAAGGTGTGGAAGAGAACAAATCTGAAAGAAGACTCTTGGCATTCGGAGCGGAGTGAATGAATGTACTGTTTAGGGAAGCATTAAAACGTAAAGAGACAAGGGAGGAGCGGCTATTTTAAGACGGGGCTCATCCCCTGATGGAATACCTTGCCTTATTTGGTGAGGCTTAAACAAGGACCACCGGGAAGAACAGAGCACGTTTGTGTCTGATTCACCAATTGTTGAGATGGTATTCGTGAGCTGTGAGCTGGCAAAGCATAATTTCATCACGCTGTACTTTCATTACTTAAATTCCTGTTGCGTAAGAAATACACAACAATGATCTGCTAATTGGAAGAGGCTTGAATGCTCATAGATGATGATCAATGGCGTAGATAGACAAGGAGAATTTTTAGAGTACTGAGCATAATCTCTTGACAATTTTAAACTCATCGACTAAAGAAAACTTTTGCCTGTAGGTTTTTAGACAAATCCCTGCCGGACAGAGATTGGGTGCCTGCAAATCGAGGTGAGATGGTCCCCACCGAATTATGTTCTGATGCAATTGTTTTACTTTCATCCCGATATTTTCTGTTACCAGGAGGACGAAGCACCAGAAGAGGACAGCATAGGTCTGGTGCTGACACACGAGGTGACTGTCAAAAGTAAAGCGGTTTTGCCTATATTTGACAAAGTATTGCTTTGAAATATGAACATATACTACAGTACTTGTTTAAAGGCAAAGAAAAATTGGATTCAACGACTCATTGGCTACTCAAACTAGAAATATGGCACCAGCTTTAAAATCTGTTGATTCATATGAGCATCATAAAATATTGAATAGTGGGGCTCAGGAGGTTCTAGAGATTTTATAAATGTACTACCCGGCAGGAGGTGGTGCAGTTATGAATAAATAATAAATTTAATCTAAGCAAGGGGGAGCATTGAATTATGCATTACAACTTGGTCTTGAACAACCTGTTAAAAAAAAAAACAGCTTAAGGGGTTGTTAAAGATGGAACAGCCATTTAGCTTTGACGTCTACGTAAAAAAATGAACACTTAAATACGATGGTGTGGAGGGAAAATCTGAGGCCCCTTTTTAGTTTTAAATGGTAACTCATTGGCAGTGTGGTCATTGAGAAGTTAGCACACGTGGCTCACGGTTCGGAGGTTTTTCGGTTCGGAGGTTTTTCGGTTCGGATCCCAGCTCCGGCCTTTCTGTGTGGACTTTCCACGTTCTCCCCTGTGTTTGTGTGTGTGTTTTTGGGTACTCCCACGATCCAAAAAGCCCAGAAAAAAAAAGTTTTAATCGAAGGCATAAATGCAACTCATTTAGTCAAGTACCCGCCCACTTCATGGTTGGTTCCCACCCACTCAACTCCACCAACCGCGCAATGTCACCAACTCAGAGAACTTCAGTAAGAACTTTATGAATGACGTAGAGAAACTGCTACATAAGTTCACTCCAGAGGAGAGAAATTGGCTCGCGCTCACCGTGACTTTTCATTTGTCTTAGGTCATGAGAAGCGAGGCAAAGACAAGTCAACTAAAAACGTACAAGTAATGAGCAGCAACGCAAAAGGCAAAGATCGTCTGACCGGGAGGGCCAGAAGGTCAGTACAACAGCTCTGACATCTTCTTTTAGAGCCCACTTGCACGCAAACAGCACTCGGATGAATAAGTTAATTCAACCATTGGGATATGGAATGTCTCACACCGCATGGGAAGACTCGATTTTCCGCACTGTGCGCTAAAATATAAATTCCCAAGGATGTCGTGATAGATAAACTGGAAGTTGTGGCAGCTGATTAAATATCCCAGAAGGTTCCATTCACATCACGTTCTCTGTCGCTTGTTGCTTGTGCTCTGTTGCGAAACATTCTTGTGTGTTATTGGCGTCGTGTTGTCACAAAAGCGTCACTCACATATTATTAGAAAGCCACAAATCTGAAGTGCATTATGCATTTCCGTTATTGAACGTTTAAAAAAATATATTGTTTTCAATCTTTTCACAGGGCCGCGCTGGGGAATCAATATGTTAAAAAAAAAAATCAACATATACTCACAAAACCATTAGATTAACCATTTTGCAACAAAAGTGAGTCTACCTGTCAGTGAAAATTTCCAAATTGTTTGTGCCCAAAGCAGCAATGTAGGCAGCACTCATTTGTGTATTTTCCAAAGACAAGCTGAGCATTTGCACTCAACTTCTTTGAGTGACCTTTGCGAGGCCTGTTCCAAGTGGAACCTTTCCTTTAACCCAGGTGTCAAAGTCAAGGCCCGGGGGCCAGATCTGGCCCACCACATCATTTTATGTGGCCCGCCAAAGCAAATCAAGCATCTCAAGTTCCGTGATGCTTGCTAAAGTCTGAATCAAAATTTCAAATAGTCAAATGTAATCCACAATAACAGTCATTATATTTGACTTCTGATTTTAAAACTAGTTATCCATCATCTGTTCAGGTCCAATTTGAAAATGTAGTCATTCGCGGCTGAGTTATTTTGAGGAGAGAATATATTTAGGAAGCCAAAGAAACAAGTGACAGTCCAACACATCACTCAGGTGAGACCAAAAGGGGCTTCTGAGGTATGGCTGCACTGCTGCCAGCTGCCAGTGGAACTATCAAATGCATCCCGCAATAAAAACTTGAATGCTTCTCATGAATACGACTAAATGGTGGCCCTTTTTTTAGATGGCAAGATCAAGAAGAAGAATATAACCTACAGGTGAGGTCAACCATTTTGGTAGGGAAATTCCCCAAAAGAAGCTGAACACATCTGACTATATGTCTCGTTCATATAGACTTCTGATACACCATTGGAGGAATTCCTGGAGGAGCTTAATGCGCTGACAGACGCTGAGGCACAAGAGCAAAGAGACCAGGACTCAAAAACTAAGCCGTCACAGAGTCCAGATATTTTAAACGCCTGTGAGGAAGTGAGGGGATCCAAAGGTTCTTTGGCTACCTTGAGAGCAGACACCTCAACGCAGGAGAAAGCAGATGCCTCTCCCCCTCGGGCTTCAGAGAAGAAAGTGCGATTCTCGCAGGAGCTCATCCAGGGGGCTCACGCAAAGCAAATCACAGGCTTTCAGGATTCCTCCAACTCTGAATCCGGTCCAACATTCTTTTTAAAAGCTCCCTCGCAGAAAAAAATCTGGCACAAAGTGCCCCAGCAGCATCTGGAAAGTGCCAAGGATGAAGAGAGTCATTGCCAGCAGCAGGCTTCTGAAAGTCAATGTTCAAAAAAAGACATCAGTGCCCCCACAGCGCCCTGCTGGCCCCCTGCTGACAAGGCCTGCGCTTCTCGACTGGAAAGCTCTGTCCAGCCCGTGGAGCTCACCAAGTCCAACGAAAACACAGGTGGGGTACTCCGCATGCACTAGTCACAGCATTAGGTACACCTGCACAATCTCCTGCTGCGCAACATTGCCAAACATTATCTTATTTGTCTTTGTTGCCGTCAAACTCCTGCTTCACACTTCAGCCCATTTATCAGTCATCTAGTAAGTCTGAGTGGAAATGTGAACATTTACACAAGTCGCATTTCAGTGTGCGTCCCTAAAATTTCAGGTTAGGTACGGCTAGTTAAAAAAAAAAAACTGGATCCCTACACTAGGTACACAGGATTATGCAGGTTGAACGAATGAAGTGGCCATCGATTTACCCGACAGTGCAACATTGATCCCTGTTTTATTTCACAGAACAAGCTACTGACTCGCATGTATGCGTCTCCAGCCTGGAATCAGGGACGTCACACCCGGAACACTTTAGCTGCAGCGACAAGGTCAGTGCGAGGCAGAAGCAGAGGGCCGAGGGGAATCGATAGGTGTATAAATTGACTGATGGAAAGTGCAAATAGGTGATGATGTTAAATGGATGAAGACAGAAAAACGACCTGCGTGTGTGAACGGCCACTGTGTGATATTCAATTTCTGTTTTAAGTATATCAGCCAGCCCCCGGGGCCGTTTAAGAGTCCAGCAGAAATAGCGTCACACCCCTAGTGGAATAGATCTCCGTCTTCAAGTGTGCAGAGTGAGATGTATTGATTACCTACGTGATGAATGGGAAGGTAATCACCGTTTCCGCTGTCTGTTTGCAGGCAAGAGAGCACGGCAGGATTGTTTAACGTGTTCGGGATGCAAATACTGAAAGACTCGGAATGCGGATGCTCAACGGAGGCGTGGCTTCCTGTCCTTGCGGTGTGTCACATCCCTTTGATCCGACATAAAGGAGTATCGCTGCACCCGAGGACACGAGCATACGTGGCGACACATCATTTCCCATGTGTGCATTTGAGTGCAACGCCGCTGACTGTTTACGTGTTGTCGTATGCGGGGTGGAAGGTACGTTCGTGTATCATTACAGGAAGTTGGCCTTGAGAAGAGACATTAGATTTAGTCTATTTGTGTAGTGCCCGATTGTGCCCTTGGGCTAGTTTCAATAATGGGAAAACATCTGCACTATAAGGGGGAATAAAAAAAAAAAAAAGTCATCAACTTTCCATCCAATCAGTGTGAGGAGCTACTGTGTTAGCAGCTGCGTCCAGCATCAGTCGGTGGCCTTTTGTAACTCACTTTCATTACGACATAAAGATTTTATTTTTTCAGCAAACGAGTTGATTTGTAAACTAAACTACTGACATTGAACCTGTATGCTGTTGAAAAAACAGTAGAGACAGAGAGCATTTTACAAGGACTGCTCGGATGCATGGTCGTCTCATACCGTATCCATTTGCACATACGACAGGGCATACGCACGCCATAACTTGATTTAAAAACGGAAAGCTCCTCTTGACACATTGACATGTTTCTACGTTTCAAATGGAAGCTATGCGCGGCGATGTATAGTTAAGAACATCATGGGGTCAAAATCTCGGGACACTATCTGACTAATATTTTATGCACTTGAGAAGAAATGGACGTTTTGCACATTTGTCGGTTTGACAGCAGGGATATGAAGTCTACTGGTCATGCCTTCAAAACGAAAATTTTTGCACTTGTTTTTATGCCGTTTAAATTGACAGACAGTTGTGCAACTCGTAATTTGTCCACCGAGGCCTCGAGGCGCATCTGGGAGGGAATCACTTGAGATGTTGAAAATAAATCAAGCGCGGCCATGACGGTTTGTCAGTCACACAGATTCAACCGCAGCTGCCATTTCACGCTGTTTTCTTTTGTCGGTTGTGGCGGGGGGAAAAAAAATTTGACAAAGCATTCTGAGAATGTTGTCGTGCCTTGTATTTTCGCTTCATCAACTATAATTGACACAGTGTATTCATCAACGCACACTTTCACTTGTCTATCACGCTTCTTCACGGAAGTGTTTTTAAAATGTGTTTCCATTCAACAGAGTCAAAATCACGTGACGTAGCCTTATCTTTTTTTGTCCAAATATGATCTTGTAGTGTAGTTATGTTACATAACCATACGTCTAGTGGTTAAATGACCTGTTGCAAGGTTTTTAAAGTTTCAACTGTGGTTACATTCAAAAGAAAGGGGGGTGGGGGGGGACGTCAGGTTACAGGCAGAAATGTACTGGGGAAAAACACAGTTAAGGCTTTTGCAACCGTGAAACAAAAATCTGTCTTGTTCTAATTTGATAGAAGAGAGTGCAGTTGACCTTATTTTTAAATCCCCTTTGGGAGTTTAGAATATTTATTTTTAGCAGGTTGTTCCATGTCATTTGTATTTCGATGTAACTGTCACGCTTCAAATCGGGCATTAAAAAGATGGTTGAAGCTCCGCAGCTGTGTCCCTCATTTTTTTTTTTTTGCTCTTGTTATTCGAATGTGTGTGACAAATATGAAGAGGACATGGATTAAAAAAAAAAAAAAACAGTTTCTGTACTGTCGCCTCAAATTATGACCAACTGTACGAAGTGACGCTCACCCCCTCCCCAAACACGCACACTGATTTTCAGTTGTGTAGATTTTGCATCAACCTGCATACAATCAAATCAAAAGCTTTCGCTCTTTCCCACTTGGCCGAGTTACCACACACACACACACAAAAAAAAGTCACAATATAGTAGTAGAGGAGCAGAAAATGTGACGCGCATGCATGGACTCTTCACGCTTATCAACCGTGGCCGGCTGAATCCGCTTTCATGTTGGATTTGATTAATTTCTGATGAGCTCTCTGCAGAGGTATCGAATTGAAAACTGCTCCCTCTTTGCCTTACAGGTGGGACCTCCCTTATGTGTTTCGACAGTATTTTAATTATCTCCTCCTGCGGCGGTCACCATAGCAGCCTTTCTATCTCTCGGGGACAACACACGTTGGCTCGCTGCAAAGCGTTCCGAGCTTACTTTCTGTCCATGTCAAGTGTTCTCTTCAAACAACAAAGCAGATTTGCATGCTTGCTACAGTCCGAGTGCACTTCTGTGCAAAGGTAGCCAATAGTTCCCAGGGTATGACGCAATGCACCGCAGTGGGGGTGTTAATATAATGGAAATAAGTCCTGTAGGCTGTTTGAGGACTCAAGTGCAGTGTAGGATTACGTTCGTGGCAATCCACAACACAGAGAGGCCATTTTGAGGAAAATATTGTTCGAGGTCAATGAAAAGCTCCAGAAAGGAAAACAAAAAGGGCTTGACTCTCTGTGTTTATTTAAAAAATATCATGCGTAGCTGAATTGAGCGACAGTCATATCTTACACGCGATGAGGTAACAGTTGGAGGCTCTTGAGGTGTTTCATTACAATCCGCGGATGTTACTGAAGAGGATTCGAGTACTGTGTTGACCCTGCCAGAATCTTAAGGCGGCCTGGCGGTCCCCACCGAGCTCTGTGCGTCATCTCCCGACCCCGACGGGATGTTCACAGCAAGACCTCGGTGTCATCGAGTGAAGCCCCGAGCCGAAACTAAACGATTTGGAGTGGCGCGATAAACGTTAAATCCTGTTGACATACGACTGAATTGCACACATGTCGGTTTCGTTTGATACTCCATTAGGGTTCAATAATGCTCCTGAAACACTTTTGTTGGGTTGTTAGACAGTTATCACAGCTGGGAAAAGACCTTACGAGCGTTGTAATGATGAAAGATTTTTTACGTGGTACAACGTCACATTTGTTGAGCAAAGATTTACACTCATCATTACAAGCCTGTTTCTTATGCAGCTGACATGGAAGTAAACTCCGATTTCTGAGACTAACTAATGCGTAGTGCTTGTATTTATTATTTATGGATTTTTCATACCGTTGAATGCTTCAAACAAGAAAGAGGAAGTCATTGGTCTCGATCTAATGAAATGCGTTCTCATTTGCTCGGAAAATGTCTCTGCTGCATCATTTCAGCTTCATCCGCAACCGTTTCTTTGGATGTGATTCAGCTTTTTATTATGTAACTGTTTTTGCCTTTTTAAATGACATCATTACTCCTGAAAATCCCTTTTGCAAAACTTCCTTATTCATCTCTGAATCCCTGTTACGTATTCCAGATAAGAGATTGTAGTGCATTACAATCTTCAGGCGTTATGTTATGCTGGTCAAAATAAAGGCCAGAGAAGCTCAGTTTCTAGCAAACAACCCTCTTTTTTTGTGCATTGTCATAGGCAGCATGACAATGCACTATTTGTACCACTTTTTAAATGTATATGCAACAATTTATTCAGTCGTGTTTTTGAAATTGTACAAGTAATTATGAAAGTGTGAGTTTCAAGCAAGCAACCACTTTTAGAGCAATTTTACTGGGGTGTGGTCTTGGATCAGGTCTTTTGACACAGAGCCACAGTTATACATGGTCAAACACACCCATACACACACACACACACACACACACACACACACACACACACACACACACACACGCGCCCTAAAATGCTTCACTCTATTTATTTGGTCATGGTATTTATTAATTAATTTTCTTAATCTCGGGGGGCCCGGTGGTCAACTGGTTAGCACGTCGGCCTCACAGAGCATAGATGCAAGGTTTGATTCCGGCTCTGGACTTCCGGTGTGGAGTTTACATGTTCTCCCCATACCTGCGTGGGTTTTCTCCGGGTACTCCGCTTTCCACCCACATTCTAAAGCAGGGGTGTCAAACTCATTTTTGGCGCGGGCCACATTTTAGTTAGTGTTTCACTTGGAGGGCCATTATGACTGAAACCATATAAAGAAGTACGGAATAACTGTTGATTCAACTATTGTTTAAGTTATTATCATGAGGGATTTGGGAACAAGAAAATGCTTAGAATATATCTCTTATTTATTGCATGTGAGACTTAAAAATTTTGGTCGACAATTTAGAATGGATCATGGAAGATTACATATTTGAGCTGCTTTCACGGGCCACATAAAATGATGTGGCGGGCCAGATCTGGCCCCCGGGCCTCGAGTTTGCCACCTGTTTTCTCAAGACATGCATGGCAGGCTGATTGAACACTCAAAATTGTCCCTCGATGTGATTGTGAGCATCAGTGATTGTGTGCCCTGCGAATGGCTGGCAACCAGTTCAGGGTGTCCCCTGCCTACTGCCCGAAGACGGCTGGGATAGGCTCCGGCACGCCCGCAACCCTTGAGAGGATAAATAAGCGGATTAGAAAACGGATGGATGGATGTCTTAATCGTATGCCACACTACGTCGTCACAGTGCATCGTGCATGGGCGTGCGTGTATAGTATAAACACAGATGAATATCGCTACATTTCCACCATGCAGTTACACAACTGCCAACAGAATTACTCTGCGTATCTTTTGGTCATTTTACAGACCTCTCACTCAAATATAACCCCAGAGTAATTTCATATCAGAAAAGATCATCCTCCTCCGGGGTGGAAAGAGTCAAAAGGTCACCAGCCGCCTACAAGTTGTAGCTTTCAGTAATAACGGTCAGCACGGATGACCCCCCCTTCAATCAATCGGTTGGACGTTGGTCGTTGGTTCTTTCATATATCACAGGGCACTGGAAACACATCTGTCGATTGTTGCACGTTAATAGAGAAGCCAGAGTATTGACAGGGCTTTCGTTGTGGCAAGTGCACACCTTTGTAACATCTTTTGTTTTGTTTTTTTCTAAATTCACCACAAATAATATATTATGACTGTTGTGTTGTGCTTTCCTCCCCGGACTTGACTTTCTGTTTGGCAAAACAAACATACTCCACTGCTTGCTTATGATTCATGTCAGCAAGAAAATAACCTTTGGGCCCCAATGCAAAGTGAAAACATTATTTCAGGGCCCTTGTCATTCATGTGCCTTCGTCACCACTTTTTCTCCTCCTTTACGGCAACCACCAACCTTGTCAACCGCCAGCAGAGGAAGCGAATATCTCTTCTTAATGGTTCTTTTCAGAGAGATGGATCAAAAATAGCAGCCGGCAGCATTGTGTAATGTGTTCCTCTCTGCTTTATACAGCGGGCGCTGAGATCGATCCACCTCCCTCACATGCTACTGGCAAATAGCTCGGAGTGGTTGCTCTTAATTCCGCCTCATAGTTGGACAGCTGTGACATGTGTGAAGTGGTTCCAGTCAGAGCTGCTGCAACACATCTGTGAAAAGTGAAGAGGCCTTTGACAGTTCATTCCCACGAGATACCTTTTAAAAAAATCAGTGGATCCGAAACTTTCCCTATGTGTCTTATATAATGAGACTGTGCTAACATCGGGTCATTATTAGGTTTGTTGTTAGCGAGATACTTTCATCATCCCATGCAATATAACTCCAGCGGATTTTTTCAATTTTTTTATTTTTTTTTTTACACCAAGAAATTACTTTGCTCTCCAAATACTACCATAATGATCAATATTAGAATACTGTCATGAAGTAAGTGTTCATAAAAAACAAAATCAGGCAGTTATTTGATTATTCCTAAATAAAGTATTTCATATTACAGTATTATAAGCTGCTGTAAAATTAGGCAAAGTTTAAAAATGTACACAGCACTGAAACATAGGGGGGAAAAAACGTACTAAAATAATGATTTAACCCTTTCATGCACCCTGTCACCTGATAACATGATAAGCTGTCCACTGTAGTAACCACTGTCCCTGAAAAGGTTAATTCAAATACATTGCACATAAAAGTTTTTTTAACTTCTAAGTAAAACAATTCATAAGATTCAATGTTAATATATAGTCATGTGCCTGAAAGTTAAAATCAGCTGAACTGTACTTAAAAAAATATGCTGTTGAAAGGTTTTTAAAATAAAAAGTACTGTATGGGATTTAAGAAACAAAATAATGTGCTGTATGCGTAGCTAAAACCTTAATTGGAATACATTTGACGTCATTTCAAGTCTTAAATGCGATTGATTTGATTTGGATTTAATGGAGTGACTCTTTGACATATCACCCGAGAAAACCCAAGTTCCACTCGTGGTACTCATACCACACTTTGAGAATCACTCTCTTTCTGGAGTCAAAGCCATGCAGCTGATTTTGGGTTACGGGCAGGGTATCTAACCTGGACTGGATGCCAGTCATTCGCAGGGCAAATACAATATAGACAACCAATCATCTAAACTCACATTCTCTCCTACAATATGGTTCAATTTTGATACTCCATTGGGCCACCCTAGCAACTTTGTAATGGACATTGAATCTTTTTTTTTCTTCTTGGTTGTGTACAGTACCTGTGCTGTATGCCACTACATACTAGTGATTATTTTTTTCCCCACTCGAATAAGTAGGTACTACGAGGTCCTATTTCTAGTAATCGAGTATCCCAAGTCTGCCATTTTACTGCGGCTGTGTCCGTTTCCTTGCTGCCCTCAGTCTCCTCTTAGATAAATTGTACCTGATACAGGAAATCCTTGTCATCTTCCATTGATGTCGTTATAATGTCAAGTCATGTCACTGGCTGATGTATTTTTTTTTCCCTCTGCTGTACTCTTGAAGTGGAAAACCAACTATCCCAGTCCGGGGTGTGGAGAGCAAAGAAAGGTACAGTAATGGAATACTGTAAGGATCCTCTGGGCCTTTATCCAGACTCGTTTTCTGCTTTAGCCACCCTTGTAAAACAGTTGTGGAGAGCCCAATTTGCTAGCTGTATTGTTCCGAATATTATATTAGAGGGCTGCAACTATTACATAAGAATCCATGAATCTGTTGATTATTTTGTTGATTAATCTAATCTGTTTTTTGTTGAGGTTGTTTTGTTTTGTTTTTAATTTCCTCAACTCAACAAAGTTAATTTAGTAGAGTACATTTTACTCTCAAAAGACTATATTTAGATTCACTCGCAAAGTAAACTACAAAATGTGCTGTGTATATTCCAAAAGAGGGCATTTTAAATTTTAAATCAAATCACATTGCCTGATGTGTGACTGACTTCAATCATTCTTTGAAAACGTCTCTTTTTTTGTTACCGTGTGAAAGCAAAAGCCTGCATGAATATCATCAAACCATAGAACCGAATATATTTTTGAGGTTGTTTATTTGTATATTTGGGATATAGTTATACCTATTGTACATAATGTACCTTGAATAAAAATTATCTAATTACACTATAGGTTTATCAAAGCCAAAAAAGATGTATGCCCGCGTCTATATTATGTACATAACCAAGAGCACAACACATTTACAAAGTTATATGCACATACCTGAGCATAACTCAATAATGCAAGTTCTTCTACATGAAATCCAGGCTTGATCCATGAAAGTAAATACAGCCGATATGTCAAAATGCAACAAGTCAGTGTTCAAGAATGGATGTGATGGAGCAAGTCCTGTCCCATTATTTCAGCAGAATATTTTGACTGGAGTTGCACATCCAACTGCAGACAGAACCCTAAAACAGTCCAACGTGGGTTTAAGGCATACAGATGGCCCAAATAGACAAACAAACTTAAAAAAAATAGCTTAGTTGGGGGTTGTTTGAGAGAGTGGGGTCCCCTTAAATATTAGTCGTAGATCACAGCAAAGTATCAGGTCAAGTGGAGCTCAGAATCCATTAGTGAATTTGCAAACGAGTGCTGTGTGTTTCCGTCCGACCAGCGGCTGTCTATAAACACAAGCCTATATGTACGATCACTTTTTGTGACAGGGATGGAGGGATGTGGAGGCCCCGGTCACTCAGAACTCGTCCCGGAGCTCGGTGGCACGGTTGACGCGTCAGAGGCTACCTGATCCCGATCTCGTTCTGCTCTTTCTCCTGGCCTGAGCGCGTCTTCCTCCTCCTCCTCCTCCTCCTCCTCCACTCGCGTCTCCCTGTCCACACTCGCCGATCTCTGCGTGGCTCCGCGGGTCGATGCGTAAAGTCCATCCGCCATATCGTCGCTCTCCTCGGTGTGATCCCACTGAAAAGCCCGGGCGTGCGTCGTCGAGCCCTGCCCGGCGGTGTGGTTGACTGGCAACTGCGTGGAGTTCCACTCGGACACGTTCGCGGCGATGTTCGCCGGAGGAGCCGTGACCCCCGGCTTTGCAGCGGATGCGTTTGAGGATGCGCTGGTGGGCTTCCAGATGAGGCTGTAGTAAATAGCCAGGATGATGGCTGCTAAGGACACGGACAATACATAAGCAAAGACCGTGGCTAGTCTCACCCACTTCTTGTTGGTCTTAGCAGCCATCTTAGCCTTTTTGTCCCCCGTATAAGTAGCAGGTTTGCCCCTCTCCATATTGGGCATGAAGTCCCGCTCCCTCATATTACCCCTGTTTTTTCCTCGATGCTCCACCACCCCCTCCGTCTTGAAGCCTTTCCTCTGACCCACAACCCAAGAGAAGACGGGAAGGCAGCGGTGTGGGCTCTTAAAAAAAAAAAAAAAAAAACGAGGATTTACTTAGTGTCAAAATGAAATGCGTCCAGTGCATGCAGCATTGCGTCTCATCACGGACCAGCGAGCATCCACAGGCTGGGACGCGGCATCCGACAAAGGTCCTTAACCTGCCCACATGTCCACGGAGCCGCTGGCTGTGTAGGCCCTTGGCCAGTCCGCGAACGTTACACTGGATGTCATTTATCAAACGATGAGAAGAGATCACACGGCGCACTGTCCTATCCAGCAAATGAAGTGGCTGGCTCAGCTAAAAATACAGAGAGGGGCGGGGAGGGGTCTCTTAAAGAAGCCGCAACTAGCAAGCAACTCACTCCAAAATATGTATTATCCCCAGAAGTGCGCTGAGAACAAGGTTTGCCTTTATCGTGTTAAATAATGCATTAAACGGGTAGACGCATTTACGCCAATAGAGTAATATTATTCATGAAATGATGGTTGGACCAGAATTCATACATTTTGTCTTCCCAAACCTTCCTAAATACCCCCAAACACACCCAAGGGCAGACAAAAGAGAGTCTGCTTCCAAAATGACAATAAAGTTATCCTACCTGCCCGGGTGAGTGATTGTCGTTTCAGCACAATGGACAGCGACTATGGCTCTTAACTATTAAACGCGCGCACACGCACACACACACACACACACACACACACACACACACACATTGGCACATGAAACTCCTCAAAGAAAGGTCTGAGATAAGATTCGAATGTGAGACCAGCAGCTGAGAGGCAGCAGCATGCAGGAGTTCTTATATGATATATCTTAAAGGGGAAGTCAAGTCAAAAATGTGTTTTACAATAAAATGTTCTATGTGGCCTCACTGGTCTCAACACGGTATACTGGTTAATATTGCGTTTGTGGAAAATGAATAAAGCAGTATAATCCACCCGTTTTTATCCAACTCTGGGGGGTCGGCCATTTTGTCACTTCCTGTGGACATCACATTTGCTCACGGCTCAGCTTATGAACGTCACATCACCAAGCTCAGAAAACATCCGTGATTGGTTGTTACCTGAGCCCCCGTGCGCGCTGATGTCATTTTCAGATGACAGTAAGGGGCAAAATGGCCGCCCTATGAGATGGATAAAAGTGGGTTGTTTTTCTTTTCATGTTCCACAAGTGTTATATTAATCAGAAAACTGTGTTTAGATTAGTGGGGGGCTCATAGAACATATTATGTTAGTGAACATTATTGACTTGATTTCCCTTCATAAACGATCAAATACAATTTCTGTCATGCGTCAACCATTTTGACGCATGACAGAAAATTCCTCCAAGTTAAAGATTTAAGGAAAAACAACTCAGCGCACTTTTTTAGCGCAAACAACTTGCATACTTTGTTGTGAGAACTAACATTGTTGTCATGAATGTCTTCAATGTACACTTGAGTTATCCCAACTTAAATTACTTACTGTTTAGCACCCCAAAATACAAACTGTGTTTTTTTTTACAGTGCAGGACTAAACCAAATTGCACTAGGAACTGGTTAGTTATCATACTGAGATGTTTAGCACCCCAAAATACAAACTGTGTTTTTTTTACAGTGCAGGACTAAACCAAATTGCACGAGGAACTTGTTAGTTATCATACTGAGTTGCAATAAAGGTGCAGAATAGAATCAAGTATGATGAAGAATGTATCGGGATCCGTAAGGAAGTGTACAGACATCATCCTTTGAGTTATGTTAACTTCATTTGCAATTCATATTCCTTTGGGCGCATCCTCGTGTAGGTTCTCCGTGTCCAACGACTCCACTTCACTTCACGGCTTCTTTCCAAGTGAGTGAGTCAGCGGAGAGGGGTAAAGTGTTTAAACGTATACGTTACAGTCTTAACAACAGTGGACTACAAAGTCACGAAAAGAAGACGATGAATAAGAAAAGATACTTTCTGGATTCCCCTGTGATCAAAGATTATATGGTTAAAGGAGAAAGATTTACCAAGTGGTCAGAGGTGAGTAAATATTTAAAGAGAAATGCACTTTTGTGTTTAACTCCTTGAAATACTCTTTCTTTGATACATGAAGTGTTTTTTTTTTACTTCACTAACATTTACATTCGCTGCATATATAGAAGAATGACCAAGATAATGTAATTTTAAAAGGTGGCTGAATATCTACTTTTTAAAAAATTTATTGTAGTTCATTTTTTATAAATCAGACAGTCAGGGGGAAAAAAAATTACTTCAAGTGTAATCTGGTGCACAATTTTGGATGAATTGGTTGCTCTTATGTTAATTGTCAACCATCCTACAAAGGTGCAATGATACAATTGCATTTTAGAGACATTTTTCTTTCATTGTTTTCTTTAATTAGCGTGTTTTAAAAAAAATCACATTGTTATCAGACCCCAGGATGCTTCCTGGTTCATCTAAATGACCAAATTTGGTCCCCAAACTGCTAAAATGAGCACACTGAAATCAAGTTGTTCTTCTATCAAAAACGTGTCTCCAACAAGGACTCGACCAAGACTGTCCCTGTCACCATGAAGATTGACGTGAAAGGCTTTTACCTCTACTGGACGAATCAAAGCAAGGTAATATATTACAGTTGAGGTCATTGCACAAGCTAAGTTGTGTGCTGGCATCCGTCAGGCAACACGCATCATGTGGAAGTGGTGGTGGCTCCATGAGAACCGCGAGAAAGCTGAGAGCTGCACTGCCTCTTTCTGTGCCAGCTGTTTTGTGGAGGTTATTGATTGGCGCTGATTCGGGCCTGCCACCCTGCTGCATTTTGCAGCTCAACTGTGATGCACTCGCAAGAGAGGACGATTTGTCTTTGCTGCTCTCTCTCTCTTTCTCTTACTATTTCTCAAAATGAGGCAACTTTTGTTTTACACCACATAAATCCTGAAAAATCCAATGAAGCCGACATGAAATGCACTCCTGCCTCGTGTCTCACCCATACTGGCACTGTTACGTGTTAAAAAAAAAAGCAGTGCAATCCGATTGTAAATGATAAAGCATTCATCCTGCATCCAAAATATTGTTTACTAATCAAAGTCAAGTTTTTTTCCCCCCTTCCAGTCTTTTTCCATATTTGGACTTGCGCCTACGTCCTGAATCCCGTGATGGAGATGACTGTCTGCTTCTTGTTTCTAGGAGACAACGCTCTTGGATGTTGCTACCATCAGAGATACCAGAACAGGAAAATATGCAAAACTTCCAAAAGTAAGTATTATTTACTAGAAAATACACCAAATGAGTTTGTAAGAATATCTGCAGAGATGCAAATCAATCTTTTGAGCCCCATTAGTATGAAAAACATATTTGCATTGCAAATATGGCAATGGCCGCATAAACCCAGCCCTTCTTCAGTAGACACAGGTGCACACACATCAAAATTAAACACATAGCTCACGCTGAATCATCGTTTCGTGAGAAGAGAGTGTCATCATATTTTTCTTTCTTGATCAAGAGAAAATGGTTTGGCATCTCAGCTCCTTTCTATTCATCACTTGGCCGTCGCAGTGAGCCGCCATCTTTGTCTTTCTCAGAGGGTTCAGTGAGAGGTGAAATCTTAGGGAGGGGGGGCGATGGGGCTGAGCTGCTCGACGCTAGCACGTCTTCATGTTGAGAAGTTGGCTTTGGAGATGATGTAACCTCTTCGCAAGCATCCAAATAGTGTGTGTGCATGTATTGTGTGTGTGTGTGTGTGTGTGTGTGTGTGTGTGTGTGTGTGTGTGTGCGCGCGCGCACGCGCATGTTTCCTCTTTGCATGACCTGCAAAGCAAATTTGCATGTTGGGTATGATTGTGCACACAGGTGCTCAATCACTTCAATTTATACGGGACACCGGACAACCTTCAAATATTTTCCAATTGGAAACTGACATAATCCACTCATAATGTCGTCATGTTTGTCATCAAATCTTCAGTCATAGAAGTGTAAAAAAGAAATTAACTGCTGACCACCTTTAGGATGAGAATTTCGTTTGCAAATTTAGATTGGTGCTTGTGATAGTGTTTCAGACAACAGGGAAGGCCTTGCTAGCCCTAACCGCTCACCACTGCGTTCCTCACCCGTGGCATCACACAAGTTGAAAAGTTGACGATTGAGCTGTAAATTAACTGCTGACCACCTTTAGGATGAGAATTTCGGTTGCAAATTTAGATTGGTGCTTGTGAGTGTTTCAGACAACAGGGAAGGCCTTACTAGCCCTAACCGCTCACCACTGCGTTCCTCTCCTGCGGCATCACACAAGTTGAAAAGTTGACGAGTGAGCTGTTTGTTTTAGATGTGTACGTATGCTTAAAGTTTTGGTCTGTTTCCAAATCGAATATTGAAATGAAGAGGAGTGGTTTTTATGCAGAGAGAAAAAAATGTAAAGTACACCTTTATCTTCACCACATCTCATTGTAAGCCATTTTGTTTCTACCTCTACAGCACCCAAAGGTCCGAAACGTGTTTAACCTCGATTTTCCAGACAGTAACCACTTGGCCAAAACACTGACTGTTGTTTCTGGTCTTGACACCGTCAACCTGACCTACCATAACTTCTTTGCCTCCAAGGATAAAGTGACACAGGTAATAAAGCACAGAAGGCTTTATTGACACTGTCTGCTTCCTCCAGACGTTTACAATGTTGGGTTATTGTTGCTGATCCATTGCGGTGACAACAATGAAGCTTCCCTTTCTCCATTTGTGGTCTTTATTAGACTTTATGAATGCAATATCCGGCTTTTATCAACAGTAATGAAATCACAATTGCTATTTGTTCTAACTCCCCGTGCACTCATCTCATTCACGAGGTTGCTATTATGCCATTGCCCTCTTGTGGCGAGTTTCTGTCCCTTCATATGTTTTTAATGTTGCTCGTAAAACATGGCAAACTCCGGTAATCTTCTGATTAAATGCGCACCAGAACTGGGCGAATGACATTCTTGCCATTGCCTACAATACTGCAAGAAATAACGCCTGTAGACAAGTCTTCCTGGACAAAATGTGAGTGGAAATCCTGCGTGAGCTTCGATCGTGCTGAGTGAATCTCACCAGATTCAGTTTTAATTTGTGATCGCGTCTAATCCTTTAGTTATGTTCAGATTTGTCTCCAGACCAACAAAGATGGCAAGATCCCGGTGAAAAAGTAGGCTAACCCCCTCACGCAGTGTTTGGCGATTCTGTGTAGTCAAGATCCCGGTGAAAAAGTAGGCTAACCCCCTCACTCGGAGTGTTTGGCGATTCTGTGTAGCGTAACATCGGTTTACAACGCATCAATATTGTGTGTATTTATCAGCATTTACAAGATGTTCCCCGCTG